ACACTGGGAGGCCAAGGCAGGAATGCTGCTTGAGCCCACGAGCTCAAGACCAGCCTGGGTAACAGAAGACCTTACTCTCTGGAGCAAAAGAAAATTAGCCAAGTTGGGTGGTGCAAGCCTGCAGTCCCACATACTCAGGAGGCTGAGGGAAGAGGATTGCTATGAAGCCCAGGGGTTTAAGGTTGCAGTAAGCTATGATGATGCCACTTCACTCTAGCCTAGGGAAGAGACAGACCTGTATAAAAAAAAAAATTTAATCACTTTGAGGGGGGAAAAAAGATCATCTGCATAAAACTGATAGGACTTTAGTTTTAGTAAAACTAAATTAAAGACTTACCAAAGAAAGGATTTTGGCTTTAGGCATAATTTCCTTAAGACTGTAGCAGCAAATCAGAATCTTAAACAACAAACAGGCTAATTTTAATTATCTTGTCCCACAACCTAAGTCATAAATTCTGAAATCACAAAATATTTTTTTTTCCCACAAAATATTTCTTAAAGACATACTTTAGTACCTGAGACTCAAGTTCCAATTTCCTTGCCAACACAATGGAGGTTATCTTGAAATTTTCACATGTAGGTAACCAAGGGAAAAAAATCCTCAAATTCACTTCTCTTAAAAGTTTTTGGGCTACACTGATCTAATCTTAGGTTCCTTCCTGGTCTAAAATGCTCTAAATCTCTAAAGACTACTTGACAATTATATACACATATTCCCTGAAATGTAGTAATACATTTAATTTTAATTAGCATCATGCAACTGTATTAACGGATTAAAAACAACCTGAAGAGGAAACTACTTTATAAATGTTAATTTCCAAAATTACAAGTCTTAATTCTTTGAAGGATAAACAGGAAGCCTTAAACAGACATACATTCATACACACTCATGCAAATCTATCCTTAAATCAGTGTTTTATATTCACAATTTCACCTTTTCTTTTTGTAGTATCTCCCCCATCTTCAAACAGATGAACCTAAAATCAACTGTTTAAAATTTATCAGCATAGGAATTAAGTTAAACTGTGGTGAAAATCAGTTTTTGCCGTACCATACAAATAAACAAATACTAGATTTAAAGAATAAATGAGGTTAAACAAGAGTGTACTAATGTATAAGTTAAAAGGAAAAAACTTCACACAAAATAACAAGAAAAAACCCACAAGATCTACCTGGACCCAAAATGGAGGAGGAGAAAATAAGCTCATTTCCTTTCATTAAAAATCAGAGTGCAACATCTATAGTTAAACAACTTTATTAACATAGTCAAGCAGTGATTAACATTCACATCTATTATGTCACATCATACAAATGTAAATACAAAATTACTACAGTACAATATATATTCTCTGCATGATCCAAAATATTTGGTGGCCCCAAAAAACTCTCTTTAAAATTCAGCAGCTTATCAAAAATTAAAACCGTATTCTATTTAAAATGAAGATCTGTTAGCACAGAGTTAGACTTCAAGAAATATCAATTTAGTACAGTTTGAGAAGTTGCAGGAGGATATGTTTGAAGGACACATTCTAACATAGTGTGGCAGGTACAGGAAACATCAGATTTAAAGCTTTTAAGCATAACTCATACAACCTAAGTTGTCAGCAGAAAGATCCAGTTATTTATAACTAAAGCTAACACTACTAAATTATTGCACCCGATGTTAACATATGTGTAAAACTGTTTTATAATAGGAAGTGAAGTCATTTACCATGTTTAAACGCCTGTTCTCACAAGATGGTATTCTATTAAGTAAAATTAAGTACACAGTATTATCTAATTATTATCTCCATTAAAATCATCCAAGCTCAATTTGGTTATATATCCACAAAGGAAAAACAACAAAGTACAGTGGAACCCTTTACAAGGCTGCTATTAGAAGGGGACCAACACTGATCGCCTTATAGGCTAACCATGTTATATAGTAAGTTTTTAGAAAGATATAAGACCTATAAAATACCTAATCCTACATAATACCAAGCCACAGTACAAGGGAATTCTATGGCAGATAAATCAAAACTATAGTAAAAGAAAGACTACTACTGGTTTTCTAATTAGCAATATACTGCTTGGCAAACAGATTTGGCTTGGTTTTAAAATGTACAAGAGGTAAAAAAAAAAATAAAAAAAATCACCATTTTAACTTCTCTCAAAATCATGCATACATTCAACTATTATGCATCTTAAAAAAAAAAAAACCAATACATTCTGGGATACAAACCACAACAGTTGCTGTAATTTAAATGTATAGCTTAAAAATTTATATGTATAATGATAATTAGGCATAAATCTACATAAGTAATGCCAACGGGGGAAAGCTCTATATAAGCCTGAAAAAATTAGTCACAAGTAACCTGGAAAGTGTACAGGTGAGTAAAACTAACTTTTATGTAAAAATTTTAAAGAGGCATTAGAAGTATCTGAATATTTAATATAGTATGAAATGCACTAATAATACATTGCTATATTGCATGGCATTATTACCAGATAATATTGTTAACACAGCTCATTACTGATCTGACTTTTCACCTAAATTATCCCAGGCCCTTAACTATTTGAAGACCATAGTTCTCTTAAAGTTTCCAAGCCTACATTTTATTACGAGCTCTAGTAGCAACAGTTAGTGTTTTCCCCTTTTGTATTACTTGCAAAAATAATTCAGTAAGCAAAGCTGTGTGTCTTAAAGTACTATACCAAAGGAAGGATTGAAACTGCAATTAGGCATGATACACTCTTCTCTTGGGAAGAATGTTTTTGCACCATTATCTGTTAATACATTCAATATGAATAATATAGATTAACTACATGAAGCAAAAAAAAAAAAAAAAAACCCACAACAAAAACCCAAAACACTTTTTCTTGCCTTTTCATGGCAAAGGGCATATGTTTAGACATAATTAGTTTAATTTTGGCATTTCTGCTTTGCAGGATAATTTTATATAGAGAAGCAATCTTCCTCTTTCTTATTGGAGGGTTTAGAGAAAATGAGGACCAAATTTAACTCTCTTTTAGGTATACAGGCATGCAAAAGGACTGTGAGGATGGCTTTATACCACCGCTGTCTGCTAGACTAATGGGAAGAATGATAATGAATCTCAACGAAATACACAAAAACTCAAAGAATTTAAGTATGATGACCCTTTATAAGCATATGTCACCAAAGCAAAAAAGATACAGGAGTAATCACCTGAGATAAAACTTGTATCTGAATATTTTATAACTGAGTAGACAAAGCATTTCAAGAGGAAAATTAGCTGAAATTGCTTTAAAATATACATCTAATGCTATTTTACAATATATGCAGTTTAAGCAATTCAGACCAATGAAAAAAAATTAACCAAAAAAAAAAAATCACAGTGTTTATCAATACGTTAATTACAAAACGTATGCTACTTGTTTTGTTTTAAAGATGTAATGGCTTGGTTAAGTGTTTTAAAATCTATTTTTCTGAACTATAACTTGCGTAACAAAATCAAGTAGCAATAATGTAAAGCATCAGAACTGGCTCTTAAAGATTATTTACATGTTGATTATTTGGGAAATAACCAACCAAAAATATTAAGAAAGTGATTTCTTTTTACACAGTATGAAGTCATTAAAGAGATTAGACAATACAAAAAGCAAAATTATTTCTCGAATAAATGATACTTGTGGCACAAAGTTTACTTGCTGATGGGCTATTAACATGGAACTGCCAAACATGCATTTAAATTATATTAAATATACTTTCTGTTTCCAACTTAGGTTGATCAGCAGCTTTTATTCTGTTAGAATCCTTCAAAGAGAGAAGCTCAAACAGGAAAAAGAAGGCATATATAAAACAGTAAACACTGACCTCCTGAGGTTCCTACAACATAAAAATATTCAAGTAGAAAATCTACATCACTTAGCAGCGGCTATTTCTGTAGTTGAGCACACTAACAGCATTTTAGTGTGTAAGGAGCAGATGAAGTAAGCCGTGCTTTAAGCATGCCAAGAGGCGGAAACACTGGAATGTAACAAAGACAAACTCACAATTTCACAGACATTCAGTCAACATTCAAAACTATTAAGACTACACCACAAAAATTAAGTTGTTTTTATATATATCCCATGATGTACTAGGTTTTATCACAATAAATGCTAAATCAGAGCTTACCTCAAAAGATAACTTAAATGGATTCTGCAAATTCCTGTGCTACACTATGTGTCTGAAATATAATATAAATTAGGAAAGAAACAATAACCTCAAGGGGGAAAAAATACAAAAAAACCCCAACCCACTTTCAGGTTGTCAGTCATATTTACTTAATTTTTATATTTAATTAAATTTCCTTTCAATTTAAAAACAGGTCAAATGACCACAAAAGTGAACACATTCTTAAAGTGGTATTTCATCTGCTTAACTGAAACTAATTTTTAATCAGACAGGTGACAATACTGCTTTAGTCAATATAAAATTGTGAATCATAGGTTCATGTATCTTTACTAAAGGTTGTTTTTGTTTTACTGTTTAGAGAAAAATCTGGCCATTTCTTTTAATTTAAAATATTACCTATTCCAGAATATTAAAATATCTGTACTATTAGATTCTAAAAAGTATCTGAAGAACTACAGGATGTCACTGTAAGAATAAAATAGCTACCCTACACAGTTTATCAAAGACTAAATAGGAATCACTTTTTGGCTTCTAGGGAAGCAATGGTACTAGAAAGCAAAACGCCACAAACCCTTTGAATCCAACTTATATAAAAATTGGGCATTATAAAATAATTTAATTTCAGGCTCTACAGACTGAAATTTGCAAAGCCAAAGTAAAGGAAGGAGGGTGAAAGAACATGTTAAAAAAAAAAAAAAACGAAACACACACACACACAAAAACCTTTCTGCATGCTACCATGCATTTGAAATTTTTTGAAACAGTACTTATAAATTCACACCCACACAGCTCAAACTTCAGTGCAATGGCTGTATCATTCAACACTTCTAGAGAATAGAACCATGCAAAGAGGAGCAACTGCTTATAAAAATGGTTATTCAGTATTTATTCTGCAATGCAAAGGTGACAAACTAAAATATAAAAAGGCTGTTATGGCTTAACATTTTTGTTGCAGATTAAATATGCAGCATTGAAAAATGGAAAGGCGTGGCTTCATCTCTGACCAGCAGAGTTAAAAAGAAAAATCTCTCCATTTTCCTTCATCATCATGGGATACACTGTTCAGGCAATCCAAATTAATAAAGACTTGCACTTTCATATGGACACAAGATCAAGTGTACCAGTTAGGTTTCACATTCACAGTATATAAGAAAATACACATGAAAGGAAAAGTAAAGGGTTAACTTAACAAGGATTTATTCACAGGAATACATGTAAGTAGAGAAAAATAACAGAAAAGCTAAACAAATGAAATGAAGAGGATCCAAACCAACTTTCACTCTGTAGCTTTTAACTTGCACCCTGTGTGCATATATCTAGGGCACAGAGGGCCACCAACATGCGCCAATACAGTGTAGGAACCCTGCATTACATCCATTAACTTAAACATATCTTTAAGATCATGCTTTAAAAAAAAAAAAAAAGCTTAGAAGGCATTATGTTGAGTGGGAATAAACACTGAAATATAGCAATCATTTTCAACATCTACAATTGTCTTTATGTGCCAACTAACATTTATGCAGCCTTTTACAGATCTTTTACCATGTAATTTATATTTTGAAGTTTTGATAAAATCACTAGTAGTATATAACCATGCAGAAAGCACATCACACTGACAGCACAGAGGCAAAGATTTTGCACAGGTATATCAGCTTTCCACATTGTGCAGGTTACACACAATACAATATCAATCTTATTCCTAACAGATCCTAAAAAAGATATTTCAAGGTCTAGCTGTAAACTACAGTACTTTATATATCTATATTCTTAATAAAAATAAAATCCACAAATCTTAAAAAGGAATTTTAAATGCAGGGCTATCTTGAATTGGTAAACTGCAACACAAACTGGCGCCAACATAGGTAAATGAATACCAACCTCACTCTATGTGATGCAAGCATGCTACTTCCCCACTAATTTAAATTACTTTCAATCACTATGAGCCAGAATGCATGCCTGAACCTTAAACTGCACTTTAAAAATAACATCTTGGCCTAGAAATTAAATCTAATGAAGTACAAACATCAAATTATATCCACTACACTTATGTTTAATGCAAAATTAAGATGTCATCTTTAGTTTGATACGCCCAACCCCAATTCTTCCCTCCCTGCCCACCCCACAAAGGTAAAAGGAGTGACTCATTTGGCATTTCACAGGGTGCTTCTTTGCTTAAATTTGTTTTGTTTTATTTCCAACTTTTTTTTGGGGGGGGTACCTTTAATTGTAACTTCCAAGAACCTGCTTCTACTTTGGGAAGGCAAGCTGATTTTAACTCTTATTAGTTTCGTTTGTGAAGTTCTTCATCAGCATGCAAAACAATGCCCCAGCATTGGGAAAATTTATATAAAAATCTTTGAATTAAAAAAAAAAAGCTTCTTTACTTTTTGTAACCCCCTCAGGTTTCCTTTATTGTGCGCTATAGAATTTTTCCTCTTTCTTATCCCTATGCATCATTTATGGTTCTTGTTTTGGTACAATTCCCCATAATATTCCAGAATGTACTGTTTTGTGAGCAGACTGAACATTTTTTTTTCTTCTTCACATCCAGTGCAGAGTTGTAATTGGAGACAGATTTCCACCCACAAAAGCTCCAGATGTTAAAACGTTTCCCAACATCGACTTAATACAGTGACGGCAACACCTCCCTCCCGCCCCTCCCAGTAGGGTTGGGATTGTACTGTATTCCCTACTGGTTTACCCTTCCCCCCTGTAAAGGGTAACATTTTCCCTGGGTGCAGAGGCTCCCTCATAGTCTCCAAGACCGAAGGACCTATAAAAAAAAAAGAACAAAAGCAATTTTATCTTTAACAATTGTCAGTCTTTCAAAGTCAGTGAAATACAAAATTAATCAAATAATGATGGCTATTTTTACCTACAAAGAAAATGAGAAATTGGACAAATGGCCTAAGATCATGCTAGTCAATTATAATCATGGTGCTTCCTTCTCCTATGGCTTTGAATTGTCACCTGCATCAGATATGAAAAGTGAGCTGAAGATGGGAACACACAAAAGCATGCTGTACTTTGTACAGATGAAATGTGCCCTATATGATGATGCTATCAGTCTAATTTTCATCCCATTGTGCAAAATAAGACCCAGTAAAAACTGGGTTATTTCTTACATATTACGTTGCCTTATTTTCTTCAGAACTGAATAGCACTTTCTTTAGGATAATCACTTCTCTTAATGAGAATCAAAATACTCTTTACCCTGGTATTTCCAATATTAAGCAAACAAAATTCTAGTCTAGTAAAAACTAAGCAACCGGTTATTTTTCATTTTCTGATTTGTAGCCTCGGAGGCACCAAAACTGTTCATTACTACTGTAGGGTAAATAAATATCAAAGAGTAAAATTTATACCTGCTTTCTTGATGCTCCTCATTAGTTACTATTCTAACACTATTGCTTTCTTTTTTTTTTAGAGACAGAGTCTCACCTTGTCACCCTCAGTAGAGTGTTGTAGTGTCACAGCTCACAGCAACCTCCAGCTCTTGGGCTTAGGTGATTCTCTTGCCTCAGCCTCCCGAGTAGCTGGGACTACAGGCTCCTGCCACAACGCCTGGCTATTTCTTTTAGTTTGGCCGGGGCCGGGTTTGAACCCACCATCCTCGGTATATGGGGCCAGCGTCCTGCTCACTGAGTCACAGGCAACCGCCCTATTCTAACTTGATTTCATTTGGTCACTTCTCTATTCTCAGGCCACTCGGAACTTTTCTCAACAATACAATTTTAATGATAAAAAGGACATTAAGAGATAAGAAATAAGGTAAGATTACTAGGAGATTTAAACTTGATAGTGGTCCTTCTTCAAGAAAACTTTACTACCCACTCATGTCAAACTTTGGACATTTATGAATGTTCATGGGAATTCACAGAGAATGATTAGTCCTTTTGTGGAAAAGTACAAGTAGCCCTTTTCCTCCTGCCTCTGAGACAAGGGAAGAGGAGTATATGAAAAGGTAGGAAAAAAGGTATTGATTTATATTATTTCTAATTAGACAACTGACAATTATTTCATGTCTTAAAACAGTTCATAATTGGTGATGAGACCACAAAGATAAGAAGACTGAAAATACTACAGACTTATTAGTAGCTCACTACTGAATCCCTGAAACTAAGTCATCCTTATCTACTACATTCTCATAGTTCAACATAAACTGAATCCAGCACTTTTATAAAATGCCAAAGCCATAAAACAGTCCTGAGGACTCAAGATCAAAGTGGGAAAGTGGGACAACACACACAAAGGGCTCTGAGACATTCCAGAGGCTGCAAGTCCAGTTTCTACTGCCTTCTCATTTAGATAAATTAGATGGGTGAAATCTTTCTAGATTTAAGATCTAGCTCAGTGTACACATTTCAGCATATCCTCTGGCTTCCAGTCAAGTATGTCTCAATTAATGTTCAAAACCTAAAGAAAAATGTCAAAATCATGGTTCACCATACTGCCCCATGTTCTTAACATTTACTGAAGAAACTTAGTGTTCTGGGCGATATACTAAATCTGGCATCACACAGTATTCCTTTTTTCTTTTGAAGTAGAATCTTGCTATGTGGCCCATGCTGATCTCAAACTCCTCTGCTCAAATGACCCTCCCTCCTCAGCCTCCTGAGTAGTTAGGACCATAGGTGTATGACACACGTCTGGCTTACATAAAGTATGCCATATACTCTTCAACATAACTCAATGAGGAAACTGAAGCTAAGAGATCAGAATTGTTAACACCATTTAAGTAAAGAAAACCTCAAGGAACAAGAGTCCAAATGGGAATACATCCCTCTAATACCCCAAATCAAAATAGAATCTTCCATTAATTACTCATACAGTCCTGGGCACGTGGTAGGTGCTCAACAAAACATACTGGAAATACTGAGTCAAAACCCAGCTTCAATTCTCTTGTGATTTCCTTAAAGCTCGTAATATAGAAAGTTCTTATATCAAAGGGTATAAATTCCTACTTCAAAGTAGAACCATTCATTTTATTCTGGCTTATAGGTTCTTTAAAAAAATTTTTCTAGCCTTCTCTTAGGTTAATTTAAAAGTTCGATATAGTATAACATGAGACTATGTTTTATTCAATCCCCATTTAAAACAAATAGCTTTTAATTCTATTCAGCAGTTTGAGATTATAGTCTTAACCAAATTTTCTTCATCCAGAAATTTCCAAACTTCTTATAACTTACCCTAATTTTGGGACTGCAGCTTAAGTGTATTAGATTAAACACCATAAAAAGCTGCAAGACGCTCTTTTAAGGGAAGAGGAAACTGGTCTGAGAAACGCCTCCAATTTTCATCCCCAACTTGATTTTTAAATCCATGAAGGATCTGCAAAGAGTGAAAAGCCAATACATTTATCAGTACTGAAAGAGAAAAATCTGTTCTATGTAGCTTCTGAAATCCAACACTATTGATTATTTCAAAATTATATCCTTTTCAAAATAGTTAATTCTCAACCTTGCAAGACTCTACACTATTCCATAACTTGCCTAAAAGTACTTTATAACATATGCTTCATAGGATTCAACAAGTGTCCCAGTAACAGATATAATCTAGACAATCTCTGGCATCATACTGATGAAAAACAAGAAAGTACAGAATTCATGCAAGGAAGTTTTTTTTCTCTTTGAGACAGAGCCTCAAGCTGTCGCCCGGGGTCGAGTGCTGTGGCATCATGGCTCACAGCAACCTCCAACTCCTGGGCTCAAGCGAGTCTCCTGCCTCCGCCTCCCAAGTAGCTGAGACTACAGGCGCTCGCCACAACACCTGGCTATTTTTTTGGTTGCAGCCATCATTACTGTTTGGCAGGTCCCAGGCTGGATTTGAACCCGCCAGCTCAGGTGTATGTGGCTGGCACCTTAGCCACTTGAGCCACAGGAGCCGTGCCAGGAATTAAGTTTTTGACATATTATGTCTACTTTGAACTGGAAGTATACAAGCTTTGGGTTCCTGGCTTCAGCTGTAGTTCATTAATTTTAATATTAGGTGATTCAAATGTGCAATTACATTTTATTTTTCATTCTGTTACAGCTGAGTGCGGACTAGAGCTAATCAAAAGGGTATACTAACAAAGCAAAGAACACAATAAAGGCTTAATCCCTATGGATGCTTCTTAGATTTATACTCTGTTCAACAGTTTCAGATTATAGTCCAACCCAAATCTCAATTATCCATCTTGAAAAACATATACCATTTTCCATGAGTCAAACAATGGGATCACATGAGTTTGTTGTACTATCGAGAAAATATTTTCAAACTGCATGTACTACTGCCATAGATATATAAAATTTATTTTTTTTTGAAACAGAGTCTCACTATGTCACCCTTGGTAGAATGCTGTGACATCACAGTTCACAATAACTCCAAACTCTTGGGCTTAAGTGAATCTCTTGCCTCAACCTCCCAAGTAGCTGGGACCACAGGCACCCACCACAACGCCCAGCTATTTTTTGGTTGCAGTTGTCATGGTTGTTTTGTAGGCCTGGGCCAGACTTGAACCTGCCAGCCTCAGTGTATGTGGCTGGCACCCTATTCACTGACCTACGGGCACTAGGCCTCTACTGCCATATCTTAACAAGTCAACTTTGTTACCAAGTAAAAGGGTTACATAAGATCTACCAATACTTATTTGAATAACTTAACTTTCATATAAAATATAAAAATAGTTTAAACTTTTCAACTGTGACTTTAATGGTCCCAAGATCATATATCATAAAGACTTATTAGTTACCTTACAGAACATGTCTCTGAGATCATCTTTTGGGTTAATCCATGATGCAACAGCATCACAAAAAAATATAAAATCCTGTAATAAGAAAGAAATACATCTTAGATGGATAAAATATTTGTTAAACTCAGCAAATGATATATGTTAAACCTCAAAATTTGTGTCACAATAGAATCCTAACTAAAAAAGAGAAAATATAAAAAAACCCTAGACTCTAGTTTGTACTGGAATCTAATGTTCTGTTGTATTTTTTATCATGCATCAAAACAAACTCCTGTCCAGCAAGCGGAAATAGACTGAAAACATCAAAATGTTCACTTACTGGATTAAAGAAAAATCAGATTCAAAACCTTACTCTTCTGACTAGCCTACAAATAACTTATCACTAGCTAAATATTTATCAGATAAGCTTGATTTGAAATATAGAAATAGGTCTAAATGTCAAGACTCATCTTCAGACAGAAAATTTAGTGAAATGACCACAGTTAAAAGAAAAATCAATTATAGAAACATCAAGTCCAAACAAGAGCAAAGAACCTCAATTACTCTCAATTACTTAAGATTATCTGAACAAAAATAAGACAAATAAATAACATGTCAGAACATCAGCAGCATGTTGAATGTTACATGTTAACTACTTTACATTTTATTAAATTCAGAGAATCCACTAGTTTCAAAAAATTTACTAACATTAATGTAAAAAAAAATTATTGAAGCAAATAAAATGTGCTTAAAGTTCATTGTTCATTTAAATTATGATTCCAGGCTGGGTAAGTGGCTCATGCATATAACCCTAGCATTTTGAGAGGTTGAGGTAGAGGATCACTTAAGGCGAGAAATTTGAGACTAGCTGGGACAATATGGCAAGATCCTGTCTCTGCAAAAAATTAAAAACAAAACAAAGCAAGACAAAACAAACATTGTCTGGGAGCGGCAGTGGCTGAGGCAAGAAGACTGCTTGAGACCAGAAAGTTCAAGGCTACAGTGAGCTCTGATGGTGCCACTGTATCCTAGCCTGGGCAACAGAGTAAGACCCCATCTCTTAAAAAACAAAATAAAACAAAAAGATTCCTCTTATCTTTCATACCCAGAGTATATAATTAAAAATTTAAACATAAAAGACAAAACTTGTGACCCAGTCCCTAGGGTGCCAGTCACGTATACTGAGCTGGTGGGTTCAAACCCAGCCCAGGCCTGCTAAGTAACAATGACAACCACCACCACAACAAAAAATAGCTGGGAGCTGTGGCAAGGCTTAAGCTCTAGAGTTGGAGGTTGCTGTGAGCTGTTGACGTCACAGCACGTGGCACTCTACTGAGGGCGACACAGTGAGACTCTGCCTCAAAAAACAAAATTTGTGACACTTTTTTTTCTTTTTTAAAGATAAGAGTCTCACTCTGTTGCCCATTATTGTCCTGGTGCCATAGCTTACAGCAACCTCAAACTCCTGGGCTCTGGTGATAGGCTTGCCTCAGCCTCCCAAGTACTTGGGACTACAGGTTCCTGCCATAACACCTGCCTAGTTTTTCTATTTTTAGTAAAGACGGGGTCTCTCTCTTGCTCAGGCTGGTCTTGAACTCCTGAGCTCAAGCAATCCACCCACCTTAGCCTCCCAGAGTGCTAGGATTACAGGTATGAACCATTGTGCCTGGTGGAGACATAAAGCCTGGGAATAAAAGCTTTTAAAAGGCAGAAATTTCTATCATCTCTTAAGTAGGTAGTAATTTATTATCACATATGTACCATTATCTTAAAATGCTAATTCAAAAAGAAAAAATAAACTTCTGGTATGAAGATGCTTTTTAAAAATAAGGTATATGTCAGATAGTACTAAAACACATCTGATACGTCACTTAAGTCTGTAGGTATTGAAAAAAACAAACTTTAACAATTGGAGTTATTTTGCAATTAGGGACCTTCTCTCAAGGCAGCACTGGTTTGTTCTTACAGTTAGTTATTAACCTTTATGAATGTGAAATTAGTCAAGATGCTTCTAGTTCTAATTTGTATGTTTTTAATGTCTATCTAATCTGTATCAATTTGAATTTTATAAGCTGAAAATTCCTATTTCTGAAATGGAGTTAACAAAAACCATAAGATAAAATATTAAAAGGTCTCTATTTAAAATATTCCAAGCACTTTTCTCTTAGGAGGGAAAGGTTTTTATTTTCTTGAAAATAAAGGTGAGAAAGTTATTGCTATAAAATCATTTCTTTGCAGCTCTGTTTCTCTCAATTGCATATCCTCAGAAACCAATAGTTTCATGCTTCCCTCTTCAACATAACCTTTTGGTTGGATTAGGAGCTTTGACTACATTCATGTTTAACATTACTGCCAAGTATTTAAAATACATAAAAATATGAGCTTAGAAAACAAAATATGAATAAGTCATAAGCTCTCAAAATTAAACCAGATTTAATGGCTGATTTGTGTTTTATTAGTTCTAAACTTGATTCTATGTAACACAGATAGTATCCTATTATTGGGTTACTCTCTTAAGTGTAGATATCTTAAGTGTAGATATCTTCAAACTCAGCAAATTGATATCCATGGATGAGTATGTACAAAGTAAATAAATGATGTCTTAATGTGGATGAAAGAAGTCTAGACTAATTCAAGATAAGAATATAACCTTACATTGGGCCCAGTGGCTCATGCCTGTAATCCTAGCTCTTTGGGAGGCAGAGGTGCGTGGATCACTGGAGCTCAGGAGTTCCAGACCAGCCTAAATTAGAGCAAGACCCCATCTCTACTAAAAAAATACAAAAAAGTAGCTGAGCATTATGGCAGGTGCCTGTGGTCCCACTTATTCAGGAGGCTGAGGCAAGAGGATCATCTGAGCCCAAGAATTTGAGGTTGCTGTGAGGTATGATGCTGTGGCACTTTGTCCAGGCTAACAAGATACTATGTCTCAAAAATTAAAAAAACAAAAAAACCCCAAAAAGTATAAGTAAAAGTTATTTCATAACAAAAAAAATTTCAGAAGTAAAAAAAAAGGTATTATCATTTTAAGATACTAAGTTCTTTGTGATTAAGTCTTAAAATATTTCTCCCATTAAAATTTTATTATTCAAAATACTAAAAGTTCAACAAATCCATGAGAACATCTTTCTTACTTGAATTACGCCACTGGGATTCACACTGATCATGGTACAAATCCCACGGAATGCAGAATCTTTTTCCTCATTGTCTCTTATGTTTCTCAGAGAGGTGCACCTATTGAATTACAGAATTGAGTTTAGTATTTAGGAAAAAAGCAGGTTTAATTACAATACCAATGGACAGTATTTAATGGAATAAGCACCAAGATATATATAATGGTTGTATTAGAAGAGATTTCAGAAAGCTTAAGTTTCGGTTTCCCATACTTCCTATATGCTGGGCCCATTTACTCTCAATATGGTGGAAATGGTAAAATTTTCTTAATAAATTGCATACATAAAATAGACAAGTGATTTGAATCTCCCATTTAAACTATTAATGAGCTTGAGCCAAAAAAGGTTACCAAATTAACTTTTAAAATTGTATTATTTTGACTTGTATTCCATTAAACACTACTAAAAATGATGTCAATTGAAAGCAGAACATAGGATGTACTGCCACAATATAAACTATTACTATAAGACTTATGGTGTAGATGTTTAACTTTTACATTAACAAGCAAGTTTTTTATACATAAGAAATTTAAACATATTTCTTAATGCAATCCAAGTTTCCAAATTAATTCTAAAAAAGAAACGTAATGCAAAACCTAAATTTATAGAATTTGCATGCACTTTTATTTTTCTGGTGGATATTTAAATGCTTTTCATGTATAATCAAGCTTTTTAACACAGCAAGCATGTGACAATCTTATCCCATGCATCAATTAGTCGTTAGCCACAACATAAAATAAATATACATGACAATGCCATTGAAAAACCTCACAAACCTGATAGGACAAGATTAGTCACATGGTTGGCAATGATTAAGGATTGTGATTTTTGTAACCAACTGAAAATATATCTAAAAGTGAGATAGAGAAAGAAAGAGTGAAGAAAAATGAATTAAAAAAAAAAGATTGAATAATACACACCAGGGTCTTATAAACTGCTGTAGCATGGGGGCCACCTCTTGAGGACAAACGTAACCAAGACGACCAATTGTTATTGCTAAGGTAACGCAATCACGGTTATACACCACCAAACGCCAACCAAGACATGAGCAAATGAGGGGGAAGGAGAAAAAATAAAGAAAAAACAACAAATAACTCAGAAACAGAAACCAACAGAATTTGTGTATGATAATAAACATAAGATTTCACCAGTGCTGTTTATTACCACCCCCTAAAATAAGGGGCAGCAACATATATGGCATACTCTTGGAAAAAGAAAAACAAAAGGAATTAAAAAAACTCTAAGATTGAGAGAACACCAAAAACCATGATAAAGTGCTTTTCTCACTCAATCTAGTGTCAGAATATCATTGTTAATAAGATGAGCGATTAAATGAACAGATACAGAAAATTTTCATTCAAAAGCCAAAATTTCAGAATTTAATAACGAAATCTGTTTTCCCCCAAGAAATATCAATAAATCTGACTACATTTCTGAATACTAAAACATATTTCTGAAGAGTTAAAATTTCTCATTTCCCTACATCTTTCTCCATAAGAATTCAAAGATTTCCAGTCTTTGGAAATGAGAAGTTTTAATCTGAATTTTGGAATTTTTTTTTTTGTTGTTAATATTTCCCAAACAAACAAGTAGAGTAGTTGTGGCTTGATATCAAAATCAGCTGTCAGGTTTTAAGTGGCATGGTGCCCACTGAATGAATTAGAAAACTGCTATGCCCTGAACTCAATCTCATTGTGACAAACCACTGATAACTTGGTTAACAGTCTACTAACTTCAAACAATATTTGACACGAAGTTCTACAATAATAAAGGGAATTTAGATAGTCCACTGCAACAATATGTCACACGTGGACTATAGGAAAAACTAAATATTACATCTTTGCTGTAAAATGCATAGCACAAAATAGATGTAACACATTATAATACTGGTAACACACTAGTATTTTTTAAAATTTTGAAGTGGGCAAACATATTCACCACCAAAATTCATAAAGTCCTTAAGTTTACAATGAGCTAAATAAAACAGGTGCAACTCAGAATTGCATACTGCAATTCAAAGGTACATACATATAAATACATTTATACACAACGGGAAAAAATACAAACAGAAAACAAACCATGAGGTGCTTTAATGGTGTTCTCTCAAAAACTTACAGGTTAACCTTTCATAAAAAAGGGTGGGGGTAAAGAAAAATGTTTAAGGATTACTTGAAGCAAACTACACAGATAATACTAAAATCCAGCAGATTCATATGAAGCAAGAGAAAGAAAACCTATGTTCAAAAGACACAAACTATGCAACATTCTCATTAAACAGGCAAGTATGAACAATCCAATGAAACATGCGATAAAGCAGATGATGGTCCATTGAAAAAGTTCAGTGTAGGATATACTAATTGGAAAAAAAAAAAGCAAGTAACAGCATACTAAGGAATTGGCTTTATGAACTACTGAGATAATAACAAGGTGCTAAAATTGAGACCATTAGCTATTGACCTTGATTTTATTAAGAAAACCCATTCTTTTGGGTAAGAAAGAAAATAATAATTTATATGCAGACACTTGTATTAAGAGTAATCTAATGAATTTCAAGTGTTTCTCTCAATGGTACCAATTCATTCCATTGACTCGTAGGGCATTACTAATTATTGTATTATTTGCTTAGGATATAATCATATGTAGAATATAATCGAATAAAGCCAATTTGTTAAAAGGAACTGTATCACCAGATGATATCCCACAAGAAACTTTAATATACATTACACTCAACATTTATTTGCAGTTATGCATTCACATTTAAAAATAAACAGGAGTTTCTTTAGGTTCAACAATAATTTTATAATGGCAAGTGTTTCAAAATCTGAATGTCATGTATAGGTACTGCATTGTGAAGAGATAAAAACCTGACAAGATTTCATAACCACCCTATACATAGGATTTTGTACTTTTCAAGCAAGAAAATTTAATTCACTTTGTGAAATAAACAGTACCCATACAGCCAAACAGCCACATAAGTGTTTCAAAAAATTAAAAGATTTCCTTCCATACCAATAAACTTTATCAATTTTAAATGCATTATGATAAAATAAACTTTCTATAATTTAAAAAATACCAAATTAAAATGCCTTTGAAAAGAAACTTTCTTATTTGGAAAACCTTATTTAATCTTTGTCTAGTATTTTGGTAAGACCCTCATTTACTACGAATAAGATATTGGAATTATCTTGGTATATAAAGAAAGGGATATACCTGAATGGAAACAAAATTTAAATCTTTCATTATTATTAGCAATAATCAGGGAGGGTGGAAACAAAGAACCCAATCACTTTCGAATGTGTTCTATAGTATGGAAGGTACTCTTTAATATAAACATGCTCTCTATAAATGCAAAAGAGAAACAAGCCTAATTAAAAATTCCATAAGGTACTGCTTAAGTCCCCAATTTGAAGAAAAATATACGAAATACAAAATACATATGCCATTGTTAACCAATTAGCCACTGAATTGCAATCTATTTTAGACCACATTTTGAAGAAAAAAAAAATCGCACTTTCCCAGCTTCCAGTTACTCTCCAAATTACTTTAAAAGCAAAATTCATATGGTTCAATAGTTAGCTGGGATCCATTTTAGGAAGTATTAAAACACTGAGATGGGAGAGAAAAATATTTTCCAAAGTTATTGAAAACTGGTTATGGGATGTAGCTAAAATAGTACATGTCATTACTGAGAATCCAAAATAGCTGTTAAATAATAAGCTGAGTTTTTAAAGCCAGCTTTGCTTTGGTTTCTCTACGCATCTTAAAGTTAAAAGGCAATTAATTTTCCCTTCACTGAAACAGTTCAGTCATATGGTACCTGTATTCTCTAACAACGTCTTTGGTGTGTTGGGTCTGTTAATGATTTCTACAAGCTGGTGCAACACCATAGGAATATAAGGCTGCATCTCTATACCTAGATCATCCCAAAAAGAAAAAACAAGAAAGAAAAAATTGGATGTTAAAGTATCACTGTAAAATACTTTGCTTCCCTTAATAACTATGACATGTGATATGTAGACATAAAAATCATTTAAATAAAACAATTACGAAAATATCAAGGCACTTGAAAACTTAGACTTTTTTTTTTAAATACAAAGTCTCATCTTGTTGCTCTGGGTAGAATGCTGTGGCTTCATATACTCATAGAAACCTCAAACTCTTAGGCTCAAGTGATTCCCCTTGCCTCAGCTTCCTGTGTAGATAGAACTATAGGGATGAGTCACCAGGCCTGACTAGTTTTTCTATTTTCAGTAGAGACAGGATCTTGCTCTAGCTCAGGCTAGTCTTGATCTCCTGAGCTCAAGCAATCTACCTGCCTTCGCCTTCCAGAGTGCTAGGATTACAGGCATGAGCCACAGCACCAGGCTGAAAATGTGTACTTTTAAAGAGGGAAAAAACAAATCTTACCCATTTGAATAGAGATTTCTCCAATTGCCCATGTGGCATTGTTGCAGACTGAAATGAACTCTGGATTTAGGTTCGTTCCCAAGATTGGCATGAAATCAGCTAGGAAAAAAAAATTTTTTAAACTATATAACTTCTCAATAACAGTGTACTATACTTTAAAGGAAATCTACTAGGCAAAGACTGAAAGCAAGGCAACAAATAGCAAGTTTCACTATTAAAAACCATTTCAATTAATTTTAATTTAATCAACTATAGAACTGGTGAAAAGATAGGCAATTGTTTAAAAATATTTCAGAACTGAAGGAGACAGTAGCTGGCCATTAACTTTCACATGATGTAGAAAAGTTTTGATACATTTTATTTATCATTCAAATGAGTTGGAGTAATCTTGTCATCAGATTAAAGAAATTCAAATTTAAAGTAGAGAAAATACGATAAAATAGAATTTTCTTCAAAGCTAGTTTCTCACACACAGAATTTCTTTTTTACGTAAATGATTTTGGCTTTTAAAGCAGAAACTTTCACCCTAGTGCTCAGGTTATGTTCTCTAAATACCATTTTCCACTTAAAGGAATGAGATTCTCAGAAAATGCCTCATTACAAACTAAGACAGAAAAAATAAAAAACCTGGGCTACGCAGTCATAACAGGAGGGATGCAGCAGGAGGGATGCAGGGGCCAACCTGATTAAGTTCCCACTTCTAACAGTGTAACTTGAGCATCATGCTCGCACTGGCTGTCAGAAAGTCAAAACCCCAAAAATGTACACACACAGAGAACCAACAACAACAGAAAAATTCTAAACTCAAATAAATTGGTAATAGAGGGAAAGAATCAGTGCCTTTGTCCACCAGGTAATACTAACACTGACCCAGTATTTAAAATGTCTTCAGGCTCGGGGCCTGTGGCTCAAGTGGCTAAGGTGCCAGCCACATCCACCGAAGGTGGCGGGTTCGAATCCAGCCCGGGCCCACCAAACAACAATGACAGCTGCAACCAAAAAATAGACAGGCGTTGTGGTGAGAGGCTGAGGTAGGAGACTCGCTTAAGCCTAGGAGTTGGAGGTTGCTGTGAGCTGTGATGCCATAGCACTCTACCCAGGGGAACGGATTGAGGCTCAGTCTCAAAAATAAATAAATAAATAAATAAATAAATAAAAATAAAATGTCTTCAGACCATTGGCAAATGTTCTCTGGCGGGCAAAATTGCTCTTAGTTGAGAACCACTAATCTAGACAATAATCCATCTTGGTTGAGAACATAAATTAAGAGACAGCTAGATACTGTGTACTTCCTTAAAAGTCCACACCATTGGCTCGGCGCCTATAGCTCAACCGGCTAAGGCGCCAGCCACGTACACCTAAGGTGGTGGGTTCGAATCCCCAGCCCGGACCCGCCAAACAACAATGACGGCTGCAACCAAAAAATAGCCGGGCGTTGTGGCGGGCGCCTGTGGTCCCAGCTACTTGGGAGGCGGAGGCAGGAGACTCGCTTGAGCCCAGGAGTTGGAGGTTGCTGTGAGCTGTAATGCCACGGCACTCTACCCAGGGGGACAGCTTGAGGCTCTGTCTCAAAAAAAAAAAAAAAAAAAAAGTCCACACCATTTTCCAAGTCTTATGAATAAAATATTCTGATTCTTTTTTTTTTATTTATGAGACAGAGTCTTACTATGTCATCCTCAGTAGAGTGCTGTGGCATCACAACTCATAGCAAGCTCAAACTCTTGGGCTTAAGCGATTCTCTTGCCTCAGCCTCCCAAGTACCTGAAACTACAGGCGTCTGCCACAAGGCCGGACTATTTTTGTTGTTGTTGTTGCAGTTGTCATTGTTGTTTAGCTGGCTTGGGCTGGGTTCAAACCTGCCAGCCTGGCTCGGAGCCTATAGCTCAACTGGCTAAGGTGCCAGCCACGTACACCTTAGGTGGCAGGTTCGAATCCCCAGCCCGGACCCACCAAACAACAATGACGGCTGCAACCAAAAAATAGACAGGCGTTGTGGTGAGAGGCTGAGGTAGGAGACTCGCTTAAGCCTAGGAGTTGGAGGTTGCTGTGAGCTGTAATGCCACGGCACTCTACCCAGGGGGACAGCTTGAGGCTCTGTCTCAAAAAAACAAAAAACAAAAACAAAAAAAACCTGCCAGCCTCAGTGTATGTGGCTGGTGTCGCAACCACTGTGCTATGGAAGTCAAGCCAATATTCCGATTATTAAACTTAGTCTCTGTATCAAACTGCTAGTTATAGTACATATAAAGGTCAGAGAAACATGTTAAATGAACTAGAGAGATGCCATCAGTAAAATCTCGATGTGGGACAAAAAAGTCTAATTTAACAATAAAGTGCAATTAGAAGGAAGAGGTAGGTATTGAAATATTAAGACATTTGGGGTCTGTATGTCTGATCATGGTTAATATTATGTGGGGAACATGACTGAATAAGCACAGTTAAAAACAGAAGCAGGGTGACAGAGGGCTTGTTACACTTTTTTACATTTAAAAAACTTTTTTATAATAAAAAATATTAAATCCTTTAAGTTTAAATTCAAAATTAAATGGTTAAGTATATGTATGTTACGATTCCCAAAAGAATTCCACTTTTAGACTAGAACTGAATGGTTAGACTTTAACTAGATGGTTCTCAATACATCATAATTAACGTTAACCTTCTGACTCTGATGTTACTCTGGTGCAATCGACACCTTATAGGCATGTTTCGTTTCTAAGCACTCTGTAGTCAAAGGGTTAATACTCAGAGAAATACTATTAAAACCACAATTGTGTCAACATGTTGAGATATATGGAAAGGAAGGGGATAAAAATAAAATCACTTAACCGCCTAGGTATGAGAGCAATTCAGGTTACAATATTCAAGGGATCCCTTATTATCTTTACAAAAGGCCAAAGTAAATGGGATGCTATTAAAACAGAAACAATTCCTAAATCTCATTATATACTTTAAAAGTGACATTTGTTGGACATTTTCTATGATCTCTAAAAAAGTATGTTGGTTTTATAGAGAAGAAAATCTTATTATTACTATTTCTGGGTACCTCTACTACAAAAGGTTACTCAAACTCAAAAAAGTATCTATGAAGTAGAATACAGTACACCAAGGCATGTCCTTTACCCTAAAAGTAATACTACGCAAACTTTCCTCCAGTTACATGAGAGCCTAAAAAGCTGCTGAAATGACGGTGAGTTCAATGAAATAGGAGCTCCCCTCATCCTCCCCTCTTCAGAGAAATTTCACTGTAACCAGTTGAGATTCCATGGAATTTCAGTTTAATATTATTATAAAAAACAAAGCTGATGTAAAGGTAACTTTTATAAACCACGTTCATATTCCTTCTAGGCCTTTGGCTAAGACCAAGTGTAAAAGCCACATTCATAGCAGTAGAAAACTTTCATACCTATACAAGGCTTAACGTGCTGAAAGCAAGCTTTTGTCAGGTCACCTAATAGGGCAAAAGAACTCTGTCGAACTTCTGGCATTTTATCCTACAAGAAATAAGAAGAAATTAACCCCAATGTGACACAGAGGAATAGGTTCCAATTCGTTTTAATCTTACAAGTCTCACCTGCATGCACTGATACATTAACGTTAGGATGTTACTTCGGGCCACCAGTTGTTCAATGTTGCCTCCAAGTCCTTCAGCCAGGCCACTCAGTAAATCAAGAGCCACTATCATAAAATCTTTATCTGGAGCCTCATATTGATCAGGCTGAGCATTGTTCAGCTGAAATCAGACACAGTATTTATAAAAGTTTGCTTTTAATCAACTACTCAAAAGTTTGTATGCATTATATGCCTACCTTTAGAAAAATGTTTTAACACAGTGACTGCCACGTTAGAAAAAAAATTTTCCTTATGGCCATGGTGTTTTATTAAGAACATAGAGTAAACAAAATGATCCTAATTTGGTGAAATATTTGTTTTCTTGTTTTCTGTATGCAACACTAGAATTTTTATGCTGTATGCCACATGAATTGCATATAACTCACAACATACTTATTGAATTAGTTACTGAGAAATGAGTCTTTTGTCATTCCTTTAAGTATTTAGGTGTGGAGTAGACCAGACCTTGGGTGGTCCTGTATGACAACCGCTCAATCCTACCTCTTAAGTATGCACAAAAATATGATGTCACTGTATACTATGCATACTATCTGACTTCAAAGAGCTGCCAGGCAAATATTCAAGGTGAAATTTGTGATGGGAAGTTATGGCAATTGAAGAACATATTCCAGCAGAAAGTGGGGAAAGACATGCCAATCGACAGCAAAAACAATGAGCAGAGGTTTCAGTTTCAGGAGCCCTGGGCTTAAAAGTTAGCATGAGTTAAATAACATGGCAGTTACTATATTAGAAACAAGAAGGGAAAGATACTAAAAAAAATACCATGGCTTGTGCAAGAGTCTTCTGTACTAGATTTACACAACGCTGATACACAGGTTCACAGTATGGAAGGAAGCCAGACTGCAGGGCTGTGGCAACCGAAGATAGGCACTGGAAAGAATAAAGTACACGTGCTAAATTTTCTGGGTATACTATAAAACTACAATTAATGCTTAAAACTACAGTCAATAGGATCCTGGTTATTTATGAACTTGCATTACACTTTACAGTAGCAGGTTTATCTTCTTCCAACTTCTCCTCTGGAAGTCATTCATTGTTAATCTGCCAATCAGGAGAGGGTTACTCAGAAGAAAAATTTCTATAATAAACATGTTCTCCATCAAGGGCAGATTGCATATTAAAGTGTTTCTATTTTTTCCCCTCAAATATAAGAGATATGTTTGTTTATGCTCCCATAAATGGTCATGATATAGGTGGACTAACACTGCCAGGCATATTTTGAGCCACTGCCTGAAAGCAATATAAATGCAATTGGCCTTCTGTATCTACAGATTCTGTATCTGTGGTTCAACAGACCTTGGATCAAAAATATGGAAAACATAGCCTGGGCAATGCAGCTGAGACCTCATCTTTGCAAAATACAGAAAAATTAGCCTACAGTCCCAGCTATTCAGGAGGCTGAGGCAGGAGGATTGCCTCAATCGAGGAGTTTGATGTCGTAGCGAGCTACGATGACATCACTGCACTCTAGCCCGGGCAACAGAGTCCCTGTCTCAGAAAAATAAACAGAAATTAAAAATACAGTATAATCAATTATTTAGGCAGCATTTACATTGTATTAGGTATATACAATATAATAATCTAGAGATGATTTAAAGTATACTGGGAGGATGTGTATAGGTTACATGTAAATAACATTATTTTATGTAAGATTTGAGCATCTTCAGATTTTGGTATCTACTAGGATCCCGAATGGAATCAGTCCTAAGAATACTGAGGGATGACTGTACATAAAAAATGAGCCATGTTGATTTTTATTTTGTGTGACCTAAAATTAGCCATGTGCTTAGGCACAGAAGACTTAACTTCTTTGCCTAAGAACAATCCATGGCAGAAGCTGGTGATCCCTGAAATAATGGGGTCACTGTTTATTCTTGGGGAACAAGAACAAAACTAAACTGACCATCAGTGTCAATTCAATCATGTTCGTTTACACCTGAACAACATGAAATTTCTTTTTAATTGCAAAAGTAGCACGTATACAAAGAAAAAAAATTTCTTTTTTTCTTTTTTTCTTTTTTTTTTGAGACAGAGCCTCAAGCTGTCCCCCTGGGTAGAGTGCCATGGCATTACAGCTCACAGCAACCTCCAACTCCTGGGCTCAAGCGAGTCTCCTGCCTCCGCCTCCCAAGTAGCTGGGACCACAGGCGCCCGCCACAACGCCCGGCTATTTTTTGGTTGCAGCCGTCATTGTTGTTTGGCGGGTCCGGGCTGGGGATTCGAACCCGCCACCTTAGGTGTACGTGGCTGGAGCCTTAGCCGGTTGAGCTATAGGCGCCGAGCCAGAAAAAGAAATTTCAAGGCATTCTCTTACTGGCAGCAAGTCCCAATACTATTTCACATACATATGTGAGTATATAGATATACCTTGTGTGTGCGTGTATATGTGTAATTGACATAGTTTAAATTTCCTGTTAAGCAGAGTAAGTTAGTGACATGTATAATCCTTTACTTACTTTTCATAAAGGTATACTATGTCCATTATGCTGTTTTTTTTCTTTAGAGACAGGAGTCTCATTTTGTCGCCCCCCCACCCCTCCGAGTGCCGTTGTATCATGGCTCACAGCAACCTCAAACTCTTGGGCTCGAGCGATTCTCTTGCCTGTGCCTCCCGAGAAGCTAGGACTACAGGCGCCCACCACAACACCCAGCTATTTTTAGAGACGAGTTCTCACTCTAGCCCAGGCTGGTCTCAAATGTGTGAGCTCAGGGATCTGCCTGCCTTGGCCTCCCAGAGTGCAGGGATCACAGGCATGAGCCACTGCACCCGGGCCATGATGCTTTTTCTATTTAACAGTATTTTTTAGTATAGCAGTATCATAATTAAAGTAGCAGCTACATATTTATTGGGCATTTGCACAGCAACTATTCAGAATATAAATTTATTAACACTTTTCTTACTACATGTCTATTTGTGTTTATTTACACTTGAACATGTGCTTTTGCTGAAACATACCACTACGTTAACTAAATAACCAGCCCAACATACCTCAAGTAAAGGGAAGAGATCTTTATCTTCATCCTTTAACATGTTCCATTTTTGGATCAGTGGAGGCATTAGCATCTGAATATATTCCTATTTATAACGAGGAAAAAATATATATATAAAGTTCTGTTGTCATATCTAAACAAGTATCATTCTTTGCTCTACCCTGTTCCTTTTAAAATTTTCCTTTCATTTGCCTTTTTTAATTTACATGACCTTGTTCTATTTTTAATGTATCTTTTTTGAAATGAAATATAAATACATCATGGTATCAAAATATACTATTGTTAAGTCATAATCAAGAAAGATCTAAGTTTTACTCTCTATTGACAGAATCCTTTTAGTCCTAGAGTCCGTAACATACAACATAGCTGTTGTTACGTACGTTATAAACTGACAGGTAAACATATGAGGCACATGTAAAAAAAAATGAGATTCACAATCACTTAAGCAACCTTATTTAAACTGAGCAACAATCCATAACACGAATAAGCATGGTAGTCATGTAGATTAGGGGACAAATTCTAAAACTATTGGAAAAGCACAACCTTCCCCCAATAAAACAAAGCCAAACAACCATCACCAAAGCAACCTACAAACCAACTGCCCTGCACCAAATTTTAAGTGTAACTTAAAACCAAAAACTTTCTCATTAGCACAGCAGTTAAAAAAAAAACTAAAACCGATTTTTTAATACTCTTCAGCAGGTTATTTTGAGTTACATTAAAATTCTAATATCACTTAAATCCTCTTTAAACAAATCCATCTTCCTCTTTTACTCTTAGTACTGCTAGTGACAAAGTGCTTCTCCACTACCACTAGTGAGCTTTTTTTTTTTTTTTGAGACAGTCTCATTATGTCGCCCTTGGTAGAGTGCTGTGGCATCACAGCTCATAGCAACCTCAAATGCTTGGGCTTAAGCGATTCTCTTCACTCAGTCTCTCAAGTAGCTGGGACTACAGGCATCTGCCACAGTGCTGGCTATTTTCCGTTGCAGTTGTCATTGTTGTTCAGCTGGCCCAGGCAGGGCTCAAACCTGCTAGCCTTGGTAACCACTGTGCTACAAGTGCCAAGGCATCAGTTAGCATTTTTAACCTATTACCCCAATCTCTAATTGTTTAATATAATATACTCCCCACACTTGTATGCTACGGTGAGAAAACAAAGACATCTAGATGTGGTATTCTAAAGCTACAATGGCAGATACAAAAAGTTGTAATTAAGTAAAAGTATAAATCCAAATAATATTGTTATCCCTTTCCTTTAGTCATCCTAGAAAGTATTAACTCATTTGAGATTCTACTATAATTTCCACACCAAGCATAGGCTTATTTTTAAAATGCTGTCTTCGTAAGATCTACATTTTTCCAGTAGCAAACACTAACTGTTCACATATCCCCAAACATGGTTATTTCCAAATATGTCAACCTACTGATTATAACTATGCTATACATAATTTTTCATAATAATTAACCAAAGATACTTACTGGTTTGTTTAAATGATGGCCTACTGAATCCGCTAATGTTCCTATGGCATCGTAAAGAATGAGCAAGTTCTTATGCTGGTATTTACTAAATGCGAAGACCAGGGTATCAAGTATATAAGCAAGGTAAGGAACAAGTTCTGTACAAGCCTCCTCTTCTAGGGTAGCAAAGGCACTACAATTTAAATAAATAAATAAGTTATTTGGTATGTAAAAGGAACAGTTTCTATTTTACAGTAGAAATAAGAAACTAAACCAACTGTTTATAGAATATCTATTTACACTTTACATGCCTATTTCATCATAACTAGATCCTTAATTTTTTTTTTTAATTTCCTTCCCATTTCTTCCTTTCTAAGAGGTATCACCTACAGGTATCTGTTTAACTACTATAATAAAATTAAACTGTGTTGGTTAGGCCTAGTGGTTTATGTCTGTAATCCTACCACTTTGGAGGCTGAGGTAAGGGATCCTCTGATGTGAGGAGACCAGCTTGGGCAACATAGCGAGACCCTGTCTCTACAGAAAAATTAGCCAGGTCATGGTGCACCCGCAGTCTCAGCTACTCAGTAGGCTGAGGCAAGAGGATCTCTTGAGCTCAGCAGTTTAAGCTGCGATGACACCACTGCACTCTAGCACAGGCAACAGAGAGAGACTCTATCTCAAAAAGAATACTAAAATCTTGCTGGTTTTTCTATTTGTTCATTCAATAAATTTATTTGGCACTTACTATTTTAGTTACCAATTGCTGGGAATACAGCAATGACAAAAGGGTGCCCCTATTCTCTTAGAGAACTTACATTCTAGTGATTGTTCTTGCTTACTGAAATCAGAATTAAAACTCTTGAACTCTACTTACCTAAACTGTCAGATGTATACTAGGGGTTACCACCCCTTAAATGATTCTCTAATATGCATTAAGGTGCAGAATACATTTGTTGCTACAAATCTGCCTTATGTACGGCTTTTTTATTAGGACAAATAGATAAGAAAGTCCTATCATACAGCACTGTGATATTTATTCATTTTCTTCATAACACTTGCCACAAATTATAAATATATGGTCATTTGGTATTTCTTACTAGTTTACAAGTTTCAAAATGGCAGGGACTGTAAATCCAGCATTTTAGTACATGTTTAACTAATGTGAATTAATAAATTATAGGATACCAAACAGAATTTATATCCTCCCTTCATTTTAAATCAAAACAATGCTATTAATCACACTCGCCACCTTGCTGGACTTTCTTTCATCTCATTAAGAACTTCAACTCTTCCAGATATTACTGCTTCTGATCTAGTAAGGTCTAAATCAAATTTACCTTCCTCCTTTCAGCAGTTATTTCTTCTTATTACCAATGTTAACAGTAAAAGCACAGATACTTATAAACATTAAAGAGCAGGCCATTTTAGGACTACTTTGTTCCAGGAAACTGAAATATGTGTAGTGATCAGACCAGCTGCTGGTCTGATATAAAGAGAGAGACAGGCATGTGGCTCATTCTAACAATCCTAGCACTCTGGGAGGCCAAGGCAGGAAGACTGATAGAGACCATGAGTTAAGATGAGCTTGAGTACAAGAGCTCATCTCTACAAAAAAATTAAAAAATTAGCTGAGCATGGTGGCGCATGTCTGTCGTCCCAGCTATTAGGAAAGCTGAGGCAGGCGGATCATGTGAGCCTAGGAGTTTGAGGTTGCTATGAGCTATGATAATGTCACTGCACTCTAACCTGGGAGACAGAACAAGACACTGTCTCAAAGTAATAAAAACAAGCAAAAATGCTTTGAGAAGCTGATTGGGAGGAGTACTTGAGGTCAGGAGTTTGAGAACAGCCTGGGCAATGTGGCAAGACTCTGCCTCTATAAAAAATTAAATAAAAAATTAGCTAGGCATGGCAATACACGCCTGCAATCCCTGATACTCAGGAAGTTGAGTCCAGGAATTGGGACACTATAGTAAGCTGTTGATTGTCCAATGTACTCAAGCTTGGGCAATATAATAAGATCCTGTGTCTCTCAGAAAACAAAAATAAAAATAAAAATAAAAAAGGGCGCCTCAAACCCAACCGATAGAATCTACGAAGCACTCAAAAGCCACAGTTGGTAAGAGACAGATCACAGGTCACTGTGGGACTCTCTATGAAGTTATGATATTTGACTTGTAGTTTAAAGATGTGAATGTGGTCAAATTTTGTTATTCCTTCAAGAGTAGGTACCCTACCAGTGCCACTTCAGATGCCTGAGGGAATCAGGGTAAAAGATAATTATGTTACCATAACTACTGAGTGGGGGGGGGGGAGAGGAAGAAACAACAAAGGCTGATGTCTTCTTAGCCATACCTTAAAAGCTGCAAATAAATTTTTTCTCAACCAAACACGTGTAAAACATGCTATAATGCAAGCCCCACATCTACAGATCAATCCAGCAAAAACTTCTCTTTAGAGAAAGGAAATCTGAGCTGACATAGTTGAAAAATTTTCCATTATGAAATACTCCATTAATGGTTCAACACAAACATTCTGTTGTAAGGTGGAAAATTAGCCGCTCACTGAATTACCTACTCCCATAATGAACACCGTGCTATGAATGTGTCCCACCTGCAGGCAGCTTCTTGTACTCTCTTGTTGCTATCCAGGATGCGCTTGAGCAGTTCCGTCATTAATGGCTTCAGGTACGTGTCTGGGGGCTGGCTGACTACCCAGTGTGCATAGCGGCTAAGAGTCCAGCACGTTATGGAACGCACAAGAGCCTTTTTATCAGAGAGGCACTGAATAAGGTGAGGAATGAGCTCAGGCAAGTATGGAATCATGCCTTGCATGCAACCTAGAAAAAAATAACAGAAATCTGCCAAAGTGCTAAAATTTTACTAAAATTGTTCCAGCTAAATACTAAATACATATACCCATGAAAAATATTTTTAGTATTTCCATTTATAAATATACTGTGATAACATATACCGAAAATAATTTAAAAAACCTGAAATTAGAGCTTACTGCTCCCAAGGACCTTAGGTTGTCTTCTTTGTATGTCTGCTACACTAATCATGATTTTCAGAAATGCCTGTGAAGTGTTTCAACTTCCTGTAGAAAGATCTATACAGAATTAATAATAGCCCTTATAGAGTGATGACACTCTTGCCTTATTAGATTTCTTCTAGTTACCTAGGCAATAAAGTTATTTTTCTAGCAATGGAGATGCTTTGGACGTCAGAGTCCTCTTGTTCTGTTCCATTACAACAATAATAAAAGGCTGCTGAACATCTGACTGAAGTCAGCAGTCAGTCTACAGCTTTTTTTTTTTTTTTTTTTTTGAGACAGAGCCTCAAGCTGTCCCCCTGGGTAGAGTGCTATGGCATTACAGCTCACAGCAACCTCCAACTCCTGGGCTCAAGCGAGTCTCCTGCCTCTGCCTCCCAAGTAGCTGGGACCACAGGCGCCCGCCACAACGCCCGGCTATTTTTTGGTTGCAGCCGTCATTGTTGTTTGGCAGGTCCGGGCTGGGGATTCGAACCTGCCACCTTAGGTGTACGTGGCTGGCGCCTTAGCCGGTTGAGCTATAGGCGCCGAGCCAGTCTACAGCTTTTTGACAATAGTTAACTGGTTCTAAGCAGAAACTTATGGTAAGATAGGTTTTGTAGGCATACAAACCTACAAATTTCTCTTGAATTTAATATGGATTACATAGCCTTCTTTGCCCCACCCTCATAATACTATGTGATCAAGAGTAAAGTCTTTATATAGTAACAACTCCTTAAAGCAGACTACCCTTATTAGCATGAGTGAACTTTATAATTCAAACTGAACTTAAACTTACCTTCGGCAATTGCTCCTAAAACCAAGATGCCTGATTCTTTAACAACCCACTCGTGATGAAAAAGTAATTCTTTCAAAAGGGGCAAAATATGTGGCAATAGCTCATCACGATACACATTTGCAAGAACATCTAGGGCAGCAGCAGAACACTTTCCTAAGGAAATATTTAATGAAAAAATATATATTAATCTCTACTATAAGTTAATACATATTAAAAATTAGTATTTATTGTATTACACTTTCTTCATAAGAATTCAATTAAATAGGAGATTGTCTTCACATGAAAATATCTATATTTTCTATTACAATTTTTATGACAAAGATACTCTATTCATGACTGTCATACTTCAATTCTTTTATCTATATAGAAAAATTATAACATATGCTATTCCACTCAATTCAGTGCTTCCAATATGATGCCCACTGTTACAATCACAAAGCAAAACACACATTAATTCTACTTAACGTTTTTAGTGATAGATCATTTAGAATCAAGTTATGTAACTACTTAATTGTTTAGAACAAAAGTCACAGGTGTATGAAGCATAAAATGTGCCAGAAAATGTTTATAATGAATTAACTATGAGACACAAAATCAATTCGGATTTCATTAATATGATAATTTAGAAAAGAACAAAACTGTAATTTTAACTGCTATGGGTTGGAGCATGTCCCACTAAGTTTGGGTGTTAGAAACTTAATCTCCAACATGTGGTGCTTGATAAAGAGGTGATTAGACCATGAAGGCTTTCTCTGCCCTCCTGAATGGATTAATGTCCTCTTGGCAGGAATAAGCTATCAAGAGAGTTGGCCTAAATTAAAAGCAAGGTTAGCTTGCTCTTGCTCTTTCTCATGCTCTTTTGCCTGTACACTATGGGATAATATAGAAATAAAGTCCTCACCAGAGGCATCCCCTCGATTTTGGACTTCCCAGGCTCTAGAAGTGAGAGCCAAATACGCTTGTTATTTAGAAATTACCTAGTCTTGGGTATTCAGTGACAGCAGCACAAAAAGGACTAAGTATCAAAATTTTTCCAATGTGAACTAGACATAGAAAACGGTTAATCACAAACTAGAAATGATAAAAGATTTTTAAAATCTCTATGTACTGATACAGAATGAGGCATAAGATATACACAGAAAAACCCCAGCAGAGTACATATAATCTGATTTTACTTTTGTAAATGGATTCTCCTCTAATAAAGATTCATGTGTTTTCCTATACATGCACAGAAAAACTTCTGGAAGGATATAAAGAAATGCGGGATGTGAAGGGAATGTGGCCCCTCCCAACTTTTGTAGAGTCATCTATAATATAATCTTGATGCGTTCTACCCCCCATCTGAAAGTAAAAATATATTGGGAAGTAATTTGTGATAGCAATAAAGACCTTGGGTTACCTTAAAGGAAAACTTGGGTTCCAACACTGGAGATACACTATTAGTGCTAGCTATGCTAACCTTCAGCAAGTTTCTCTTTTTACCGTTTCTTTACCTATCTAAAGTTGTTGGAAAGATTAAATGTGATATGCATATATAGCCCTTGGCCTAGTGCTTCCCACATCAGGCACTATAAATAAAATGTTATAGGGCACTAAAGAAGAAATGGAAGAATGAGCATTATATAATCAGATGGATTATACAGTACAGGTTGACAACATATACCCTTAATCACTTTATCACAGGTATTTCACTAGAAATCTCAACACTTTGAACTACAGTAGTGGTTCTAACCTGGAGATAATTTTGTTTCCCAGAGCATATTTGGCAGTATCTAGAGACACTGTTGTTTGTTCCAATTATGTGCGTGCTGCTGATCTCTTTGGGTAGAGATTATAGATGGTGTTCAACATCCTACAATGTGCAGGACAGCCATCACAATAAAGAATGATGTGGCTCCAAATGCCAGTAGTGCCAAGATGGAGAAACCCTCAATGATAGCAGTGGAGATTTGAAAATAAGCTAGCAAAATCAAAACACAAGATGCATAGGTTCCTCTACAATTCAAGAGTGTGAGCCAGACTGCCAGCTTCACTGATAATGCAGATTTATAGCTAAGGCTGAAAATTATTTTAAAAAGCTTATTTTCAAAGTTTCAAATATGACAAAGCAATATATATTATTGGAGAATTATCTATGATAATCAGCAAATTATCATGCAGATTGCTACAGCACACTTTTAGGAAAAAAAGGAAAAGCTTGTCATATAATAATTTTATAGTATCAAAATGTATATAGCCTTTTGAGAAACAGTAGTTTGAGGTAAGATATCTTTTTAAAGAATATATTAATGAATAAATTTAAGAATAGGCCCATCATGGAATTGCAAACCAAAACCACAAGATAATACTATTTCACATCCACTAGAATGACTAATAATAAGGGTTAATGAATATAGAGAAACTGGTACCTTTAGATACTAGAAGTATCTAACTAGGACAGTAAAGGACAGAAGGACAGTAAAATGGTACATCCACTTTGGAAAACCGTCAAACGGTTAAACACAAAGTTACCACATGACCTAGCAATCCCACTCTTGAGTATATACCCAAGAGAATTAAAAACCCACGAATACCTTTACATAAATATTTACAGCATTAAATACTATCCACAATAGCCAAAAAGGGGAAATGACACAAATATCCACTAACTGATGCAAGTGTATATGCAAATACATGCGTACGTGTGTGTATATACACACACATAAAAATATGGTATATAAAAAATATTTCACAATAAAAAAATGAACTCTTGATACATACTACAAAATGTGGATAAACCTTGAAAACATTATGCTAAGTGAAATACAGTTATAAGGGACCATATACTACATGTGCAGGACAGCCACCACAACAAAATGTTTCCATGATTCCGTTTATATGAAACGTCAGAATAGAATACATAGTGACAGAATACAGACTGGTAGTTTCTTAGGGCTAGAGGAAAAATGGGTGTGACTAATGGGTATAAACCTTCTTTATTGGGTGATGAAAGTATTCTAAAATAGATTATGGTGAGGGTTGGATAGCTCTGTGAATATATTAGAAACCACAAATTGTATACTTTAATTGGGAAATTTTGTAGTATGTGAATTACATCTCAGTAGTTACCAAAGTTGTTAAGTGTGTCTTTCCCTCTCTGACTTACTTAGATTCCAGTCAGAAATTGTATCGTCGTCATCAATTTCATCATCATCATCATCTTCCTCTTCAATTCCATCTTCATCATGCTGCTGAGCCACTGTTCTTGATCGGTGAAAACGTGGTCTTATATCCTGTTCACTATCAGGAATTGTTTCATCTTCTTCAACATCACCCTGTTTTTTTTAAAAGAAACTTTCGGTGACATGTATTATTTAAGCTAAAAAAAAAAAAAAAAATCGGGAGTATCCAGAGATGGGGTCATGTACAGCAGTTTGAAGCATACTTCCTGAGTGGTTGATAACTACTCTCCTGTGCAGAGGGGAGAAGATATTAACATAACACCTGCTAGGTTTAATTAGGCCCTTTCAGCTACCTACACTGCCTCTATTGATTGGTATAATCTAAATGTACCTTAGCAAATTCAGATCAGCACACTTAAGAAGTTATACTTTTAAATAGATTCCAAGTAATTTAAATAAAGGAAAAATTAATTATAACCCTACTGATGTTATAATTAGTTCCAATAAAGCAAGAATTTATTATCACCCAAATTCATGTTTACTTCTACTTCTCAATCTCTATAGCCTATCATATACAACAGTAAATCTATTCTAAAGAAATCTTTTATTGACCAAATTAAAAAATATACTAATATAAAAATTGTCTTCCTTATTCATCAGAAAAGTTTCCTTACCTTAAGCAGGATGATATCTATATCTGAGTATTTCATGCCATTCACTAACACAGGAATTAACCTATAAAGAAATGAATTTGTGAAAGAAAGATCTAAAGAATTAGAACTCTTAAAAACCTTATGCATACTAATAAAACTAGTGAGACAACCACTACTAATACTGTCTTTGAGTATATTTAGTGACTATTTATGTTTTCTTCATTAAGTGAAGAAAATACTGATAGGCAAAAAAGAAAGCAGAATTGAAATTCCCTGGACAGGTTTAAGAAATGTGAACTAGCCAAACTTTCACGCTCAAAGTCCTTCTAAATTCTGAAATAGTAATAGTAATATTAAACATAAAATATTATACAAGCTAGTATAACTAGGTTAAGACTTGTAATCAGTTTTCCATAATTACACAAAAAGTTACAAAAAAAAGAGGGAAGAGGGAAAAGCTGAGAGAATGATGGGGTGAGGTCCCTGGTGATAAAAAATTATTATTCAGGGCCTTAAGTAGGAAATGAAAACTCAAATGAAAATACAGCTGTTAGTAAGTTCAGCTCATCTGAAAAAAAAGTTTGGGAGACACATGCAGGGTAGATAGAAGTTTATGGTTAGTATAATTTATTTGTGATTATGATGTCTGTCAGATGAAAAAAGAACAAATCAAGGAATCTGAGATTGGAAGAACACAGAAGTCAAGGGTCTTTGAGTGATGTGGCAGATTGGCCTAATAAAGTTTGTAGGACATAAGGGACTGATAAAGCTGGGCTAGTAAGATGATGAGAGGTCAGAAAGTAAGATATGGGGAAGCTAAACCTGTCCATATGGCAATCTACAATAAGACAAACAAGGCAGATCATTATTTGTGAACAGATCTAACTATTCAGAATTCTCCTGAAGCCACATGTAGCCATTAAACAAACAAAAAAAAAATTTTTAGACACTTCCTATTGGCCAAAGAAATTTTTTAAACATAACACCATATAAAAACATTAATATCAACAAGAAATATTTAATGAGTACTTAAATATGTGTTAAGCATTGAGCAGTTTTACATGGATATTCCCTACAGCGGTCCTATAAGGTATCAGTGCACAAGAATAATGGTGTGAAAAGGCAAAATAATTTCAGGGGGAAAAAAGAGATCAATGAAGAACTACTCTACCAGAAAACAAAATACCTTAAATGTTTAATGTATCAAAATAGTATAGTACTGTTTAAAAAAGAAAAGAACAAATTATGTAGCCTAGAAACAGATAGAACTCGTCTTCCTTGTTATACTAGTGCTTTCTAAATAAGTTCATATTAACAAGAAATCTCGTGACACAGAATTTCTTTTTTTTTTATTAAGTCATATACTCATAGATCAGAATTTTTATTTTATTTTTTTGAGACAGAGCCTCAAGCTGTCACCCTGGGTGGAGTGCTGTGGTATCACAGCTCACGGAAACCTCCAACTCCTGGGCTCAAGCGATTCTCCTGCCTCTGCCTCCCAAGTAGCTGGAACTACAGGCACCTGCTCTGCCACCCTGTGTTTTTTTTTTTTTTTTGGTTGTAGCCGTCATTGTTGTTTGGTGGGCCTGGACTGGATTCAAACCTGCCAGCTCAGGTGTATGTGGGTGGTGCCTTAACTGCTTGAGCCACAGGTGCTGAGCCCAGAATTTTGTTTCTTAAGCAAACATTTTCATTCATACTAAGCAAAAGTCTGGTTAACAAAACTAGAAAAAACTTTTGTAGTGCTTTTATCTCAGCAAAAGATTGATACTGATATTCTCCCAACGTTTTAGCATTATCTAAAAACCAAAATCAATCTTAAAAATGTCTCCCAAACAGTCGTAGGAAGACATAAATTAAATCAAGTCAGTCATGAATGGCTGAAGTTGTTCAACATTTTTAAAGGTGCTGGCCTTTTAACTTGCTACTGAATTCATCTGTTTTAAAATTTTTAGATTATATTAGTATAATGATGGAGTTAGAGCACCTAGTTACAACTACATATTCAATTATAACTATCTCCTAATATTATAGGCCTAAGTTCTCATTAACAAAATCTCTGCAGTTTTTATAAAGATTAGTATGTGTTTATTACTTTTGGAATTATACGACCCTGTATGTACACAGCAAACAGATCATAAAAAGGCATTATAAAAAAATTATTAGTACAGAAATTTCTTAAATACAGGTAGAATTCTAAATACAGGTAGAATTTTTTGTTTCCTTGACAGGGAAACAATAGAAAAGAAAAAGGACTTAGTTACTATATGAAAATGAGAATATCTAAGTATCATCTAAAAGAAATTTAACTCCACTAATACCAAAACATTAACACCAAAGTATTTGCATTTTGCTCATCCGGATGGCAAAAAGTAGAAACATTAAAATTATTGGCTGGTCAAAGATGTGATAGAATAGACACTACTATTAGGGCACAGATGAGTACATATTTCCTAGAGAACCATATGAAATATTTATGAAGAAAACTAAAAAGAAAGACAGAAAGAAAGAAAACTTTAAAATATTTTGACCTGGGGGTGGGGGTAGGGAAATCACTCTTAGGAATGCTAACTGAATCATTTATGGACAATAGATGATGTTCAGTCTACGGTTATTTAATTAAAAAAAAAAGCCAAGCAACCTCAATATTCAACACATTCCATAATAAAAGTCAATTTACATATATGGTGTGCACACCATGACAGAATATACTACCACTAAAGTTTTAAAGACTAATGATATGGAGGAAAGCATACAGCATACAATTGAAAACAGCAAACCATAAAATAGCATAAGCAAAAATTTTAAGCACTAACTGAGTGAGGTACCATATTAAGTGCATTATGTGTTATCCAATCTACTTCCCTACACATTAAAGTATTTAGTGTATGATACCTACACAGAAAAAAATATGAAAAGATGACACATCACAAATACTAACAGTGATTACTCACAGTAGTGAAAATTTATTATTTTCTACCATTTTATTTAATCCCAAGAGCCTTTATTACTTTACTTTTAGGAAAAGCATTACTTTTAAAAGTAACTGACAAAACAGCATTCCTTGGGTTAAAAATTTCTCAGTGAGAAATTATTTTTGGGAAAAAAGAAAACCCCATTGTAAGTTCTACAGTCAAAGAATAAGGATTGTTTTTTTTTTTTTTTAAAGAACTGTGCCATAAATTATTTAGAATTATGATTTTTTTTTTTTTGAGACAGAATCTTACTTTGTTGCTCTAGATAGAATGCTGTGGTGTCACAAGCTCACAGCAACCTCAAACTCTTGGGTTCAAGTGACCTTGCCTCAGGCTCCTGAGTAGCTGGGACTATAGGTGCCAAAATGCCCAGGAATTTTTACAGATGGGGGTCTCCCTCTTGCTCAGGCTGGTCTTGAACTCCTCAGCCCGCCTAAGCCTCCCAGAGTGCTAGGATTACAGATGTGAGCCATGGTACCAACTCCAAAATTATTATTTAGAATAAACCACCCTCACAGAATTTTAAAAAAGGATAATTGTTCCTTGAAAAATCTCTTATACCAATAGTAAACTTATGTCTAACTTCTATACAACTTTACTTTCTGATGGCAGAATTTTATAAAAATGAGAAATCACTGTTAGGTTAAATAACAAATTGGCACTTACAAGAAGGAACACTTACTTAGGAAGATGCCTTATGAGTACATCTTTGCATATTGGCTGTTCAGCTAAAGTTAGCCAAAATTCACAGGCTTCTAAAGCCACATTTTCATCTTGATCTTGAGTCCTCTGTAGCATGTACTGTAAACAAAGGATCCTTAATATTAATCAGTTTAAATGACATACTTAATATAAACTCAATCCTACATTGGCCTTTGCTACTACCTTGCATTTTATCATGGCTCTCAACCTAGGCTTTTGGATTAAAAAAAAAAAAAAGGTTCTAAGTTATTCTAAAATGTAGTTAACTGTGATTTATCAGGTTGGTGCAAAAGTGATTATGGTTTTTCCATTGTTAAAAATTGTCTTTTGACACTGGAATACATTCTTTTTTTTTTTTTTGGGAGACAGAGTTTCAAGCTGTCATCCTGGGTAGAGTGCCCTGACATCACAGCTCACAGCAAACCTCAAACTCCTGGGCTTAAGAGATTCCCTTGCCTCAGCCTCTCAAGTAGCTGGGACGCAGATGCCTGCCACAACGCCCAGCCATTTTTCTGTTGCAGGTGTCATTGTTGCTTTAGCTGGCCCAGGCCGGATTCAAACCCACCAGCCTTGGTGTATGTGGCTGGTATCTTACCCACTGAACTATGGGTGCCTCCTTGAATACATTCTTAACAATGTGGTTATGTTACATAGTATTTTAATGTACATTTCTCTCTCTCCTTTTTTTGAGACAGAGTCTCACTTTGTTGCCCTTACTAGAGTACCATGACATCACAGCTCCCAGCATCTTCAAACTCTTGAGCTTAAGCAATTCTCTTGCCTCAGCCTCCCAAGTAGCTGGGACTACAGGCGCCACCACAACGCCTGGCTATTTTTTTGTTGTAGTTGTCACTGTTGGTCAGCAGGCCTGGGCTGGGCTTGAACCCGCCAGCCCCAGTGTATGTGGCCGTGCCCTAACCAATGAGCTACGAGCGCCAAGCCTACATTTCCTGATTTTTTCTTTTTTTTTTTTTTTGCTAATGACATTACTGGCTGTTTATTTTGTATTTATTTTGCACTATGGAAGTGATGTTAGACAAAAAGCAAATTCAAGCGATTTTTTTAAAGTCTTACTCAGTTACCCGTGGTTGAATGCCGTGGAGTCATAGCTCATAGCAACCTCAAACTCTTAGGCTTAAGTCATCATCTTGTCTCAGCCTCCTAGCTGGTACTATAGGCATCTGCCACAATGCCTGGCTAGTTTTTCTAGTTTTAGTAGAGAAGGGGGGTCTGTATTTGTTCAGGCTGGTCAAGTGATTTTCTTACTTGAATTCAAAAGTGGGTTGTAAAGTAGAGGAGACGACTTATGACATCAATGCCATTTGTCCCAGGAACTGCTAATGGACATACTGTGCAGAGGCAGTTCAAGAAGTTTTGCAAAGGAGACAAGAGCTTTGAAGATAAGCATGGTGGCTGGTCATTGGAAGCTGACAACAGCCAGGTGAGAGCAATCACTGGGGTTGATCCTGTTCCATTTGGCATTTGAAGCAAATTTGAAAGGTGAAAAAGCTCGGTAAGGGGGTGCCTCATGAACTGACCAAAAACCAGAGCAATTTTCCTCAAGTGTCATTGTCTTTTCTATGTAACAACAATGAACTGGATTATGACATCCAATGAAAAGTGGATTTCATATGACACCAGTGACAACCAGCTCAGTGGTTAAAATGTTAGGACCTCCAAGCACTTCCCAAAGCCAAACTGACACCAAAAAAAGGCCATACTCATCGGTGGTCTGCGACCAGTCTGATCCACTACAGCTTTCTGAATCCAATTAAAACTGTTGCATCTGAGAAGTATGTTCAGCAAATTGATGAAATGCCAAAAAACTGCAACTCCTGGCAGCCAGCTTTGGTCAAAAGAAAGGGCCCAATTCTTCTCCATGATAATGCCCAACTGACCATGTCATACAACCAATGCTTCAAAAGTTGAACAAACTGAGCTATGAAGTTTTGCCTCATTCGCCATATTCACCTGACCTCTTGCCAACTAACTACCACTTCAAGCATCTCAACAACTTTTTGTAGGGAAAATACTTCCACAGCCAGCAGGATGAAGAAAATGTTTTCCAAGAATTCATAGAATCCCAAACCACGGATTTTTACACTACAGGAACAAACTTATCTCTCACTGGCAACATGTGTTGATTGCAATGGTAGCTATTTTGATTAATAAAGATGTGTCTGAGCCTGGGTATACAGATCTAAAATTCATGGTCCAAACCTGCAATTACTTTTGCACCAACATAATAGAATGCTGTCCACTTAAAAGTGTTCCTTATGTGTACTGTTCATCTATTTCTGTATAGGTGCATTTAATGATACCTCTAAGATGTCTAAAATATGAATGTTAATAATCAAACATTAAGCACGCTTAGAAAAACATGAACTATTATGCCTTTCTTAAAATGAAAAGTCTTTTTATAAATACTTATGCTGGCTTTTATAATGTATATAGACTTTCACATGTTTGAACTGGCACATACACATTGAAATGTCACACTTCTAATTCTAATCATGACCATAATTTGTAATTTTCAACAAAATAGGTTGATCAAGTCCTTTGAGCATAACCAAGCCACATTTACTCATGTATTTCCAAATGTACGTGCAACTAAAATTGTTGTTAAATAATGAATTCCCTTTTTGTCTGGGTTGAAACATCTTGCAAGAGAAAATATGGCAATATAACAGCTGTCAAAGGCCAGGCCCTATTATATGCCACATCATGTCCCACACTCCTATGCTATTGAGTGCATAAGCTTACTGTTGCTTAAGAACTGCAACATTAGAAATTAGGCTCCCAGTTGTCACCTAGCAAGTAATACAATTTTTTAACTTTCTGGTTAACTTTTCTACCTTTAAACCAATCCCACCTGATACTTCAAAGAGAAAACTGGTTCAAAGAAGAAAATATTTATCCCAATTCTATGCTGCTACATATCTTTATCTCTACGACTATTTCTCCTAATGTTTTAGGATAGGAGTTGTTGCATACCACAGATGCTAGCCTTTTAACATACTCTAGATCTGATCTTCTAAAAAAGATTCAGCCTCTCCTATACAGAACTTTGAAAGTGAAGGGGAGGGTCTAGATAACATACTATTTAACACACTTGCAAAGCTATGTAATGATACTCATGGCACAATTATACTCAGCAATGAGAAAAAAAATGGTATAGTCTTGTTCTAATAACAATTTAATACTATATATTCCCTACAGAAACAATACACTGTACCCCATGATAGTATTAAGGCACACTGTTATGATTTAATTAAAAAAATACTATATATTCCTTTCTTTAATGTTTTTAAAATCTACATGGTCTGCCAAAACTGACTGCAAAGGTTAAGCCAGAAATCTCATTACCATACACAGTTAATCAGATGAATTTTACCAGTAATGTGGTAGGATGCACACTCTTATAGTTAAGAGTGTCTAAATTCTTAGAATTCCGAACTCCACTAACATGAGAATATGTCATTTAATCTCCCAAAGTTTTAGTGATCATACAGTCTAATCCCCATTTTAGTAAAGAGAAAAATAAAAATATCCTAGTTCATCAAACTAACATAGCTATCTACTCCATTAAATAACCTCTCCCCATAACATTGTATATATTATAAAAGAAAAATCCCCATAAAGATAATAATTGCCAGACAATCATAATTTTTATAAACCACCCCGTCCAATAAATTGTATAAATTCAAAAGCCAGGGTTTTACATTATACATTTTGCATCCAACATTTTTCTTGGAAGATAGATGAGGAAGGAGCCTTTAAACTGTCCTTGTTACCTCAACTATATTATGCATGTGAGGAAGCAGGCGATCCATCCGGACTTCAAGCAGCATCACAAGGGCCCGGCACACATTTTTCCGTACCTCTGGTTCTTCATCACCAGCCAGTGCAAAGAGATTCTATTGGACAAGAAACACATTTTTTCCTACTTTAAACACTACAGTATGTTAGAAAGGTTTATATACAATGATGTGTAATCTTTAAGATGGGGTGACATTTAAAGAAATCCTAAGATGATATATTACAGAAAAAAATGACAAATTAAGTGGTCTATAGTATTACATAATAAGACACTGAAATGTGGAATGAATGATAACTGACAAAGATTGTGATTCTGACGTAAGATGAAATGCCAAGTCTGATGGAGAGGAATCAATTATGTTTGAGATCATTTTTAGTCTGTAAGAACAAAACCATGTCATCAGGACACAGGGCATTCATCTCATTCACTCAGAAGCAGAAATAATCATTAAAACACAATTTGATTTGCTCCTCAAAATTACTGTCAGAGAACAGACTACTCCTACTAATCCTGACCCAAGGTGGCAATAGGTTAAGGTTCTTTAAAAGCATCAGTAATTGAGAAATACATATGTATTGATTTTCTAACTTAACCTTAAACTGTTGTTCACTGAGACTACTCAACTACTGAGAAAACAGTAAAAGGAGTTATCAATCTTACACTGTTCCTTACACGTTCCTCTATAACAGCGGTTCTCAACCTGTGGGTAGCGACCCCTTTGTAACACTGAAAATATATCATGGCATTAGAAAGGTTGAAAACCACTGCTCTACAAGGTTAAAAAAAAAAAAAAGGAATGCCTAAATGGATAATAGACTGTTATTTTTTTTATTTTTTAAGAGAAAGGGTCTCACTTTATTGCCCTTGGTAGTGTGCCGTGGCATCACAGTTCACAGTAACCTCCAACTCCAGGGCTTAGGCGATTCTCCTACCTCAGCCTCGTGAGTAGCTGGGACTATAGTAGACTGTTTTGTATAATTCCTACAACTCTAAGATGTTATTCAATTTTATAAATAAGAAAATGGAATTTAGCCTGGCGCAGTGGCTCATAACTGTAATCATAGCACTCTAGGAACCCAAGGTGAGAAGATCTCTTGAGCTCAGGAGTTGTAGACCAGCCTGACCTCTATCTCTAATAAAAACAGAAAAATTAGCTGGGCATGGTGGCACACACTTGGAGTCCCAGCTACCAAGGAGGGTGAGGCAGGAGGATTGCTAGAGCTGAGGAATTTGAGGTTTTTGTGAGCTGGACAGATGCCATAGCACTCTGGCCTGGGGCAATAGAGTGAGACTTTTGTTTGAGACAAAGGATATTAACAGAAGTAACTTGCTAGCCAGAGGACAATCTGAATTTGAGGTTTCACAGAATCTGAAGTTTATAGGCATTTCACTCTACCAACAAACTTTTACTAGAAAAACAATTGTCTCTTATAGAAATCGCTAGCAGGGAAGTGAGAGAAAAAAGAAGGCCTTCACTCATCAAGTTTTACTTTATTTATATACACATGTTAAAAGTAGTAAAACGAGCATTTAAAAAATACATAAAATCCTATGTGTTCCACTGTCTTTTTCCAGAAAAATTACAGAAATGTCTCTTTAAAAAAAACCAAATAAACTGAATTCTTACTGTAAGAAAAACAAAGGAGACATTCAATGATTAAACCTAAGTGTCTCTTGGCTCAGTGCCTGTAGCTCAGTGAGTAGGGTGCTGGCCACATACACCGAAGCTGCTGGGTTTGAGCTCAGCCTGGGCCTGCTAAACAATGACAATTGCAACAAAAAAATAGCTAGGCATTGTGGCGGGTACCTGTAGTCCCAGCTACTCAGGAGGGTGAGGCCAGAGAACTGCGTAAGCCCAAGAGTTTGAAGTTGCTGTGAGCTGTGACACCACAGCACTCTACCCAGGGTGATATAGTGAAGAGTGTTCCAAGAACAACAAAAAAATCTGAGTGTCTGAAGTACTATTGTTACATTTGAAAAAATTTCCTTAAGTCAAGCCTCCACATTTGACATGCTCCAAACTCTGTAGTTCCTCTTTAGATTGATTATTTCACATAGCAAGAGCACTACTTTCCCAACAGGCACTGCTTATATGTTAGATATATATCCCTCATTAAATTGTACTAAAAGAGCTCATTAATTTACTTTAGAGACAGCAACTAGGTTAGGGGAATGGGGATGTTCAATGTTACCACCTTCCACTTGTCTCTTTCGTTATACCCAGCCAGCTTTGCCAAGGTGTGTTACAGCCATGTATTAGTAACTAATGTTTTCATCAATAGCAGACATGTCATTAGCCCCTGATTAAAACATTGATAACTGAAGAACATGATGAGTCCATTTATATATTTAGCAAATTGTCACCGAGAGCCTACTAAGTATTAGGCACCTCCTCCAGAGGTTTATTCTCTAATAGGTGGATAACTGACTGAATCTTGTAGGATTATCAAGCAGTAAAGAAATGTCAATGTGGTATTTAATGATAATGCAAAATATTTTAAAATGGTTGAGTGAGGCTGCTCACGCCTGTAATCCCAGCACTCTGGGAGGCCAAGACGGGTGGATTGCTTGAACTCATAGGTTCAACACCAGCCTGAGCCAGAGGGAGACCCGTTCTTTAAAAATAGCCAGATGCTGGGTGGTGCCTATGGCTCAAAGGAGTAGGGTGCCAGCCCCATATACCAGAGGTAGTGGGTTCAAACCTGGCCTGGGTCAAAAAAAAAAGCCAGACATTATGGTGGGCACCTGTAGTTACAGCTACTTGAGAGGCTTAGGCAAGAGGATTACTTAAGCCCCAAAGTCTCAGGTTGCTGTGAGCTGTGATGTCATGCACTCTACCAAGGGTGACAAAGTAAGACTCTGTCCCCCTACGCCCCTTCAAAAATTTAAATGTTGTAATTGTTCTCGTTCCACTTACTGAGCATAGTCTTGTGTAATTTTTATTTTCACAGAGAATTTCTTTTATTGAAAATTATATTTCCTTATAAGAATGCTGGTATGTCTACCACTGTCCCCTTTATTAAGCTGTGAAAGAATAATGCTAAGGAAATACTACTACATCTGAATTAACAGCTAACATGAAATGCTTACTTTGTGGCAGGCATTACTCCAACTGATTTGCAGCAACTAGTTTTATAACAATCTATGGCTCGGCACTTGCAGCTCAAGTGGCTAGGGCGCCAGCTACATACACCGGAGCTGGTGGGTTCAAATCCAGCCTGGGCCTGCCAAACAAAGATGACAGCTACAACCAAAGAATAGCCGGGCGTTATGGCAGGTGCCTGTAGTACCAGCTTCCTGGGAGGCTGAAGCAAGAGAACTGCTGAAGCCCAAGAGTTTGAAGTTGCTGTGAGCTGTGACGCCATGGCATTCTACCCAGGGCAACAGCTTGAGACTTTTGTCTCAAAAAAAAAAAAAAAAAAAAAATCCATTAAGGGGGGTGAATTACTGGCTTCATTTTATAGATGATGAAACAGAAATCAGTCAAGTAAGTTAAAATGTCCAAGGATACATAGCTACTAACTAAGCTGAGGAGCTAGGATTTGAACCTAGGCAGTCTTGAGACCTCTAATATTATTGGCTACACTAAACCACCTTTCTTGACTACACTACACTGAAAGAAAACACTTCACATGCTTGGAGCCCATAACACACTGTTTACGGTGCCAGCCACATACACTGAGGCTGGCAGGTTTGAACCTGGCTCTGGCCAGCTAAACAATGACAACTCAAAAAAAAAAAAAAAAATTGCTGGGTGTTGTAGCGGGCACCTGTAGTCCCAGCTACCTGAGAGGCTGAGGCAAGACAATCACTTAAGCTGAGTGTGAGGTTGCTGTGAGGTGTGACACCATGGCACTCTACCAAGGGTGGTATAGTGAGACTCTGTCTCAAAAAAAACAACAACAAAGAATACACTTTGCAGTCACAAAATTTATACGCTCCCAGCACTAAGCGCAGCATTTGATTCATAGTAGATACTCAGTAAAATCCATTTAAGATGTCTTCTGGTTAACTTATAAATAGCTATAAGTTCTTTCCGGCTAATCCCCTTAGTCTATTAGTTTAAAAAGCTGGTCAATTTAAGTGATGAGAGAAAAAACACCATGATCTGCTCCTCTTTGTATAATTTCCCAACAACAGTATCAGCAGCTTTATTTCTAAAGTACTTTTAAGAAAAGCAAGAAAGGAATAGACTATTCAATATTCAATTAAATTTCATCTAATGAAAAGAAAAGCTGAAGTACTTAAGGAATTTTAACATAGTATCTTATATACAATTCAATACTATCAGAAATCATTTTATTGAATATTGAGTTTAAATGATTGCAGTTATAATAAAATAACAGCAGTTAGCACCACCTGACCTTCTCAAAGACAAAAGGGGAGACAGGGACAAATCTTACCTCAATAAAAGAATCAATGTGCAACATCAGAGCTTGAGTCCTGCTGATGATAAACTGATTGACACATGCAACAGCATGAGACCTAGAAACAAAATTTAAAATTTAACATATGCTCACTGTAGCTTTTTTCTACCTACAAAAAAATTGGCAAACATTCCTCCATAAAAATATTATGGCATACATCTAATCTCATATACCTAGTAAAAAGAATGAGCCAAATCTGTGTAGCAGAAAAAGAAATGTCATAATTAAGTAAAAAAATTTCAAGTTGCCAGTTAGTATGTGAGTGTTTTTTAAGCAAGTGAAAAATGTCTGAAAGGATATGCACAATCTTAATAGTGGACGCACCTGAAGAGCAGGAGGCTGGTCAAGAAGCATACTGTATACACGTGCACATTTTACAATCATGGGCAAGCACTGCCCTTGAAACTAAAAATGGGGAGCAGCCTTTGTGTTCCCGTGTACCTAATTCAATTGCTTGGCAATTCTTAATGACACTACATTTAAAAACATACTCTTAATCCAATCACCTCTCACTGCCTTCACTTCTTCCCTTGACTAAAGGGACTAGATCTCTGATCTCTTACCAGGGTAACTGCAACAGGCTCTAATTCATTTCCAGACCTCCAACCTGTTTACACACAAGTAAGACACACAAGCACTGTACTTTTATTCACATTGTTCCAATAAAACCTAACCTACTTTTTCCGCAAAGGTCAAATGGTAAATATTCTCAACTTCACGGGCCACGTAAGACCTATGTCATGTTTTCATTTCGTTCTCTCTTAAATACAACTTTTTAAAATATAAAATTATTCTTGGCTTACAGATCACAGGCTAAATTTGGTTCCATGGGTCACAGTTTGCTGAACACTAGCCTAGATATTACTTACGATGGGTCTCCTCCCTAACTCTCAATTTTAATTCCTATTCTGCTACAGCCAAAATGTTATTCTTCTGTCATGCTAAAAAGGCTATTCCTAATTCTAGTCTTTTCACCTACTGTTCTTTGCCTTAAACATTCTTCACTATGATCTTTCATACTTACTACTTATTTTACTCAAGGTCTTTACACAAATGTTACCTTTATAAACAATTCTCTAGATAAAAATACTTCTATAAATCAGTCTATTCTTATTTTTCCATTGTATTCACCAATATCTGAAATTATTTTTTGTCTGTCCTATTCACCTCCTCTTCTAAAATAAAACCCTCATGAGAACTTTTGTCTTAACTGTTGTGCCAAAATCACAGTTGGCTTTTGGTTATGCAGTTATGACAAAAGCACACCAATATTTATTAACTAAGAAAGATAACATCACATTTAGTATAATTTAAAAAAAAAAATTAACACTAAAAGTAAAGATACACACACATTCTAAATATATATGTAGTAAGATTATTTAAGAAGAAATCCAAGAATAGGATGAAGCTGGGATTTAGTTATAGACTGTTGTTAAGGTCTTCATTTCGTCATGAATAATTACATTAAAAATGACTAACTAAATATAAGTAGGCCATAAGAAGAATGTGACAAGAACTAAGAATACTTCAACTCTTCATATATCAAGCTTCATAAAATAAAATGGCTAGGATTTTTAAATTGCTTAATCATGTGAAAGATAAAACTATACTTATTCTATATTCTTGAAGTCCAACATTTTCAGAAGGAAAAACATTTTTAAGAGTACACAGTAAATACCAACTACATTAATAAGGTATTAAATAATAATGTAGAATAAGACCATATAAGACAAACAATATGTCCATCTAGTTAAACTATACAACAAATACAGTTATTCATCGAAACAGTAAACAGGGTGCCCCAAAGATCACCATACATATATGCATGGGGAAAACGAGAAACTGTAGCTCAATGTACCTTTACAAAATATGCATTATAAAATATCTCTCTAGGCTCAGTGCCTGTAGCTCAGTGGCTAGGGTGCCAGCTAAATACACCATGGGCTGTGGGTTCAAACCTGGTCCAGGCTTGCCAAACAATGATGACAACTACACAACAAAAAATAGCCGGGCACTGTGATGGGTGCCTGTAGTCCCAGCTACTTGGGAGGCTAAGGTAAGAGAATCACTTAAGCCCAAGAGTTTGAGATTACTGTGAGCTGTGATGCCACAGTACTCTACCAAGGGCGACATAGTACAACTGACTAAAAAAAAAAAAAAACCAACCTCTATATGTTGCTATATAAATACAAAAAATACAAATATATATAGGAAAAATTAACAAGTTCGTATTATATTATCAACCTCTTCTACACATTAAAAAGAAAAATGTTATATAGTATATATGGCAGTATCTCAAGTGGATAGTAATAAACACTGAACAGAAACATTTCTGAATTGCTGAATTCTACCTAAAGTTTGAATCAAATGAACATCTACAAAATTAAAATTAAAAAATATGTACTAATATTTAATACCCAACGATGTATGAATTACTGGAAGTGAGTTTTTTTTATTTTCCTGATTTTCTTTTTATTACTAAGAATTGGTCACAAAAAAAGAGAATTTCCTAATAAACATACAAGAAAAAACTGCCACCTAGATGGAAAAGACAAATGTATCCCTAACTTATACCACACACTCATAAGATACCAGATAGATACATCGAGATCTGAAAAAGAAAGTGAAGAAAAATATGCAAAGTATCACGCCTTTTTACCACCTAACTCAAAATGTTAAAAGGACAGACTTCTTGGGGAACATGAATTACCCAGTTAAAAATGCCTAGGAGAGTAACATTTTGAAAACATATTAGTTATATGCAGTGACCCCACAACAAGCTTCTACTGAGTACACACAATTAAGTTGCATTTAAGAAAAGTTAACTAAAATTCAGATTTAAAAAAGGGTAAGAATTAACTAGAAAATTATAGTATGAAAGAGATTTCTAATTAGCTCCCTACTCACAGTGCTGACACCATAATCCTTTGGAACAAGAGCAGCTTAGGATTTTGAAGAGAACTCTAGTGAGCACCTGAACTAGTAGCAGTTAGGACCTATGAACTCTTAAGTTCATGCACTTGGGACCCTAAATAATCACAGTAATATGATGTTACTACATAAAAGCACTCAGCACCGAACACTGCAAGCAAAAAACCCAAAGACCAAAAATAACTAACAATCTGAAGAAAAATGCCTTCCACAAAAACAAAAGGCAAAAAGGACAAGCTAGAGAAAATTTTATATAATAACTGAATTCCCACCTAAGAATATGGCAGTTTGGAAGACAGTGAAGTTACAAAATCTTACATCAACAATACAACAAAGACACCGTGATAATTATAGCTCAAAAGGAGAATTGATAAATTTAATCAAAGGGTGAATTTAATAGCCTAAATATATTATTTCAACAACTATACGGCCAAAGCACTGTCCTAGGCACTAGGGATACACAGTGAACAAAGACCAGGTTAACTTCAGGACCAGCTAATCAGACCTACTGGGTCATTTCAGGATATACTAAAAAAATCTTGCCACTTCCATGCTTGTAACATTTTTTCAGAAAATAGATGTAAAATCCTTAAACTAATGAGAATACATCTTCATCAAAATTCAGTTAGAAGCAGAAAACAGGTCTGCATTGGGCCTGAAAATAGGAGAAGGGACAGAGGATGCTGTATGTTTAGAAGCTCAAAAACTTCCAGTTCATGACTTCTGATAATCTTAAGTCCAGTGGACAAGGATATGTACCAAGTTTTACTGGAGTAATTTATATTACACAGCCACAAAGGAACTTGGCAAGATAAAAAGTGACAAGTAGGGTGGCACCTGTGGCTCACTGGGTAGGACACTGGCCCCATGTACCAAGGGTGGCAGGTTCAAACACGGCCCCGGCCAAACTGCAATGAAAAATAGGCAGGCGTTGTGCTGGGCGCCTATGGTCCCAGCTACTCAGGAGGCTGAGGTGGGAGAGTCGCCTAAGCCCACGAGTTGGAGGTTCCTATGAGCTGTGATGCCACAGCACTCTACCCAGGGTGATAAAGTGAGACTGTTTAAAAAAAAAAAAAAAAAGTTAAAACAAGTTAAAAACCCCTTCTTAAACAAAAGAATGTGAACTGACTGTAAACTATTACAAATATAATTAACCACGCAGACGATAGGAAAGTATGTCATATTTAATGAAAATTTCTTCAGAGTCAGTATTTCACAGGTTTCATCATTAAAACAGTAAATTTCAATTATGTAAGTTCACCTTGCTGAATATCCATTATCTTTTGCTTATCACAAAAATTGTTAGGTAAGGAAAAATAAGATAATGGCCAGGCTATATCAAAGTTTAATGGATTAATATTGGTTATATAAATACCTTATTTTTGGACTACTGTGCTTGAAGAACTGCAAAAATTTGGGAATCATGATGTTGAGAGGACGATCTAAAACATCACTATCTAAAATTTCAGCTGAATCTTCACATATTTTTTGAAGAGCACCAAATGCTCCCTGTGAAAGACACATATTTAAATTATTAGAATTCATTAAAAAATTAACCCATTTAAAAGCAAAATTGAGGACTGTTGTAATATACATGGATTAATGTTGTCAGCCTATATAAAATGATAACAGCTAAAATCCATAAATCAAATAATTCAATTTTAAGACAAATTATTATACCACAGAGTATCTATAATCTGTCTAAATATAATGGGGTACAATTTAAATTTAGTAATGCATAACTTAAGAGAATTGGAGGATATTTTGGTTGGCAAAGATTAAATACCAGTTTGTTAAAACTGAGTGTAAAACTCAACACTTATATGGAAGTCTAAGTACTGTAACATTTCTCTTTTTGAAGCTCACAGACAACACTTACATATATAAAACCACTATATAAACCATATAAACCATATATAAAAGTCACTTACATATATAAAACCACTCATTGGGTAACTGGTGACAAAATCTGTCAAAAGGGCAGGCAATTCAAATTGGCAACTATACCCTATCTTCTTTATGCCTTATAATTATCAGTAGAAATGTGGTGGTACAATTAATTTAAAAGGCATCTAGCATTAAGTATAGGCAATTACCCAATATCCTTTTGGAGTTCAATATATTTTAAAAATATTAAATTGGGGGATTTTTTTTAAAGTTTAAAATTTAATTAAAAATATAAAATTTCAGTCATAGATTTAACATGCTTAAATATTAGGAACTTTAATTGTTAAAATAGCATATTTGACTAATAACATCTTCGAAAAAATATTTTTAGTTTTGAAAGACTGTTAAGGCTTGGCATCTGTAGCACAGTGGTTACAGCATTGGCCACATACACCAAGGCTGGCAGGTTCAAACCCAGGCCGGGTCAGCTAAACAACTGCAACAAAAAACAGCTAGGCGATGTGGCCGGCACCTAGAGTCCCAGCTTCTTGGGAGGCTGAGGCAAGAGAAATCGCTTAAATCCACGAGTTGGAGGTTGCTGTGAGCTGTGATACCACAATACTCTGAGGGTGACAGAATGAGACTCTGTCTCAAAGAAAGAAAAAAAAAGAAAGCCTGTTAAAATCAAATTAAATAGGAACTCATTACTTACTGTGGCAAAAGTAAAAATTAAAAATTTCAATATTAAGCAAGCACTCTATACTAACATCTGGAAAATCCACATCTTTAGTTCAGACACATGGAGAATACTGTTTATTTAAAGTAAAATTTCCATGTAGTAGCTCCATCATTCACAATAACTGCAGTTTTAACTTTTTATTCTTAAAAAGTACTTACAATTTCAATCTTTTATGTTATCACCATTACACTAAAGCACTATTTAAATGTAATCAACTGTTGTTACATGACTAAATATTTAGTTTTTCTATAATCTTATCAGTGTATTCAAGCATTTTTGTGTAGATAAGAATGAAGAATTTTTTTTCTTTTAAGGAGGGAGAAAAGTGACTTTAAACACTACTTGGCTAACACTCCCTCTTCTCCCCATCTTCTCTGCCTATTTCTCCTTCCCCCAGATGGGTCAGGCAACAAACTGTCAAGTAAGACCACCTGATTCCTTTCTGTTAGGTTATGCCTGTGCCTGCCCTCCCTGCTCTCTGCTCTCTGCAATCCCTGCTCTCATTTGACAGGGAAAGAGGATCACTACTTTAGAGAGTAAAATTACCTAAAATGGCTTCCGCTTAAAAAAGATTTCTACCCAAATTGGAAGCCCAAGATACTTAAAAGTTTTTATTTATTAACAGTGAAAAATTATAAAAGAAATCCATATAGACCGATTCTCACCTCCTCAAATGAAAATATTGTTGCTGATTTGATCAGTGGCAAAAAATAATAGATCAGAGTTAATGTATGATTAAAACCAGAGAAGTTAGACAAACCCCAGATGTCATACAACAAGCAGCACAAAAACAATTTAGAGGAAGCACAAAAGTACTCATGGTCTGAGAATTTGATAAATTTCTGTCTGAATCTTTAAAAAAATATATTAAGATAGGCACAGTGGCTCACACCTGTAATTCTAACACTCTAGGAATCCAAGGTAGGAAGATCTCTTGGTCAGTAGTTTGAGATTCGCCTGATCAAGAGCAAGGAGACTCCATGTTTATTAAAAACAGACAAATTAGCTGGGCATTGTGGTAGGTGCCTGTAGTCCCAACTACTTAGAAGGCTGAGGCAAGAGGATATATAGCTAGAATGCAGGAGTTTGAGGTTGCTGTGAGCTAGGCTAATGCCATGGCACTCTAGCCTGGGCAACAGAAAAAACAAACAAAAAAATCACACGAACAGATTAAGCTTGAAAATAGGTTTGTTACATACACAAGAATAACTTCAGAACAGAAAAACCGACGACATCTGATGGGAAATATAGTGAAGAGATTTCATAACGTAACGAACAATCTACAGAAAACAGTAAGCTAAATGATTCATCAATGTGAAACACGAAGATAACTTCAAGCTACTAAGTTTTGAAATTGTGTGTTTCAGAGGAAATGTCTTTCCAAAAAGTTGCTAATACACAGTAAGAAAAGCAGAAGAGAAAAACTATGTATAGAACAAATACCCTTACCTCACAGGTGTTGTAATCTTCGGAATCCAACAGACTACAGAGTTTTGGTAAGAGGTCAGGCCAATTCTGCAATTCTCCCTTGGAGGCTATGGTTGTAATCAAAATACCTTGAAAGAAAATACACATCTTTAGGCAGTAGCTACACTGTATTGCATACTGCCATATGAGCAACTATACGTGGGTGCACACACACACATTTAAGTATCCTACCCAAGATTTCCAAACTATGTACATAACATTCACCAGTAGATCCCCCCATCACGACAGCCTACCTATGGAAAAACCATAGCATCGACCAGATGTTTCTAATCTCGTTTCCCAACAATTCATCAAATATCTGTACAAACAACTATAATTTGCTTTACTCTGGTGAAAGCAGGGATGGCTTCACCAATTACCTCTAATTCTATACGCACAAAAAAGCAGAACAAAAATATATCAACATGTCAGCAGCACCTATAACTGTGTGATAAGTTTGCGAGTCTTTTAGGGGCAAATAAAAGACACTTTAAGAAGCTAAGAACAGCTCCCCGACTTAATTTGGATTCATAGCCAAAGACCATGGTAGAGAAAATTAAAGATGATGAGCATCACTTGAGAATAAACCCACTTGTTCAGTCTGTTTACAACACTCTGCCTCATGGAGGCCGGCTACACCCTTCTATAACAGTTCCCACCAGACTGAGTCAAGGCCGAGTTGCCAGAAAGGTGATCTTGGAGGACGGGTGGCACATGTTGACTGATCATCTTGTTTTGACTGACTGAATTATTTCAACTGTGTTGTGCAGCTGAGTTGCAATGGTCAATGGATTATGCAAATACACAAAAATGTAACATAGAAGTTTTGTGTTAACACAAACACAAAAGTTGTGTGTTAACATTTTTCTCTGCCTTAGTAAATACATCACTAATAAAATGTAATTATATTTATGGATTATCTTAAAAAGAGTCTAAACTTTGAGAGTATGCAAACTGTATGTACTCTAAACTGCAAAGGTTAATCTGTAAAAATTTTGAAAAGTCATGGGTTATATATAAAAATGCCTAGCACTTAAGTCAGCATTTAATGATTATTACTAAATAGCAAATCCCTGTGTTGGGCATTATGTAAATTTCTTTAAATTTTCTACCTTTAGTTTTGAAAAGGTTGCTCTCAGTGACAAAGAAAAGAAAAATCCCTTACAACGAAATAGCCTGCTAGCAAAATCTAAAAAGCAGCAACACCTTCGCCAATTATTCTTTCCTGAACATAAAAATATAAAACTGAGGGAAAGAGAAAGCACTTAATCTGCCTAAAAGCCTCGCATGTCTTAAGACTGTAAATAGGTAATAATTAATGAAAATTAAATATGATCTACAACTTGGTATTAACAACAGATGGCTGACATTCTCTGTGAGGAGAGCACTAAAATATGTTGACAGACCGACAAACTCCAAACTTATCTGGCCCCATCATCTCATCTATTTTTGAAAAATCATCTAATACCCAGGATAGCTGCATAAAGTGAAAGGTGACAGATGTTCCTCAGTATTTACAATTATGGGAACGAAATGGGTGTGCTTGGCAACAACTATTAAAATCTTAAATGTTTAAGAGGAGAAGGTATGGAGGGACAAAAGTTGTCATTTATTTTTAACTAACACAGGCAGCCAGATCATTTAATCATCCAAGCTACTTAACTTATTTAAAGCTGCATTATAGGCTTTTTGAAAAGGAAAAATTTACATATATGTGAAAAAGAAATATAATGAACTAAATGTATCCACCATTAATTAGGCTCAACAGTCATTAATACACAGTCAATCTTGTATTTCTACCTCTATCCATCTTTACGTTCCTAATTATTTTTCATCAAATCTCAGATATCATGATGTGCGCAAACAATATTGCCGTTATGTATGAAGCTTCTTCAGTTATTTTTAGTGAAGCAGAGTAAAAAAACTAAATAAAAACCATGCGATTTCTAAATAGAAAACTGCAGTGGCCTCTCATAATTAACATACTGAAATACCTAATTAATATAAATTACAAGTAAAACCAAGGATGTATCATTCTATTAACAGACACCAAGAAATAAAATTATGCCTATGTATCAATTTCACTTCTTTCAAAGTAAATCAGAAGATATTTAATATGTTCCCAGTATAAACCTAGCTCCCAGGTATGTTCAAAAACCTCTACAGAAGGCAAAAGGAAATCCAGAACTCACTGAGAGAGAACACCAATTCTTCTCTCTCCCCAGTACTATTAAATTCTAACCTTTTAAATTTAAAAATGCAAAGTACTGAAGTTTGAACCAAGTTAAGTTTAGGGAGAATGCAATCTACTATCTAATGTCTACACCTTGTGCTCTCTTCCTCTCTAAGCTAAGTTGGTATCTCTCAAGAAGAAATAAATAAACTTCTTTCCAAATTCCATTCCACTGTACCTATGAGGAATTCTCTCTTTGATTTTAAATAGAAAACGCCAGCATACACTCACCATTCTTATCACCAGTGTCAGGAATAGGTAAAGCCTTAAGGGGGTATATTAGGGTACATTAGAATAACCAAGAGAATCCTTTTTCAAACTACAAATGCCCTACCCCAGCAGTCCCCACACTTTTTGGCACCAGGGACCGGTTTCATGGAAGATAATTTTTGCACAGACAGGGGAGGATGGATGGGGTAGGAGGCTGAGCTCAGGCAGTGATGTTTTGTACCTGGTTCCTAACAGGCCACAGCCTCGAGGATTGAAAACCACAGCTCTACCCAAATTTAAAATCACTACCAATAATAGCACTATTTATTACAATACAATGTCTGGAGAGAAGTCACAGGGCTTCTGCTAACTTATAACAAGACAACAGGTACAAAACTAAAGACCTCTTAATGAAAGTGTTTGACTCATTTAACTGGCTTCCATTTAAACCAACCTGGTAAATTAACAGACACTTGCTTTCCAACTCCTTGTAAAATTTAATTGCTTAAGCCCATGGCATACTGAAATCCACCCAATTAGCAGGCAACTCAAGAGTATACCTGCCTATTTCTACTTCCATTAGTTGATATGTGTGCTCCCAAATCAATTTATAGCAGTTACTGTAATTAAGCATTTTAATTCAGTATTACATAAACTGAAAGTTGTTCTTTCCCTCAAAACAGGATGAACATTCTGAAAAGACTAAAATATGGCTACTGAATTAGGTATAATCAAGGCAAATATTAAACAAGTGATAAAACAGTAAAAATTTAGGATCCTATACTTAAGTTTTCAAAATTCAAAAAGTGTTTCATTACATGTAAGAATGAAAAGATGCTGTACTCCACGCATTTTGCAAGGCAGACAATAAAGAACTCCAATAGCATACTCAAAGAAAACATAATAGTACTAAATTTTATCACTCACCAATACCTCATTTTAACTAATCTGATTAAGCCAAGTTTGCCAAAGCAGGGCCACTGATCTTTTACTATAATCAGCATTTCAAAAGCATTTAAATGCAATGAAAATTTGTCTCATCACTGTTTAACAGGAAAGATTAAAATTCCTATGGAAATTGTCTGTCATCTCTAAAAGACGATCCACTCAGAAACAGAGTAAGTAAAATTGTTGTAAAATAACTTACCAACTGTTGCTCTAATTAGAGGAGAGGAGTCACCAATATTATTTAAACATTCACTTTTAATAAAATCTGTTACACCATTTGGGAAGTTCTGAAAATGTGCTTTTACATTATTCTTCAAGATGAGACCACTCAATGATCTTGTAGGTTCATCTGTAATAAAACATCATTAAGTTTCACAGATTTCATTTCAAATTGTGCCAAGAATAGTAACTGTAAAAGTACAGTAGAACTTCTATAAGTTGACTACCCAAGGGGCTGTTTAAAAAAAAAAAAAAGGCCAACATAAGGATCTAGGCTTTCTGTACTGATACAAACACGAGGAGCATTTCTGGTTTGTAAGATAGGTCAACTTAAGGAGGTGGTCAACTATAAAGGTTCTACTGCATTTACATTCAAAAGGTGTTTGTGGAAGCCAGCAGGGTGGCTCACATCTGTGATTCTAGCACTTTAGGAGGCCAACTCTGGAGATGGCTTGAGCCCTAGAGTTTGACATCAGCCTAAGCAATAGTAAGATCCATCTCAAAAATAAATAAATAAATAAAAAAGATGATTGTGACAAATTTATTTTACTATATTAGTGAAATAAATAACTAAATACCAACAAATGAACTCCTGATTTATATATGTCAAGGTTTCTCAATCTTAGCACTACTGACATTTTGACAGTAGTTTGGTATACTGACAATTCTTTGTTGTCAGGCTGCTATCCTGTGCATTGTAAGATGTTAAGCTGCATCATCAGCTCTAGATGCCAGTAGCATCCCTGTAAGTTGTGACAACCAAAAATATCTCCTGGGAGGCAAAAGTGCCCCTGAGAACCCTTAATTTAGTTTCATAGTTGGTTTATAGATGAACACTGTACTCAACCTTTATTGTTACTTGGTATAAACAGTATAGTTCTGAAAGTATTAGTTACTAAAAATATCCTATTAAAAAGATGAGTGGAAAAAGTATATGAGATTATCTTCACATAAATACAGTTGTCATAAACTTATTTTTCAGACTTTGGGAACACAGTACTATTCAGACTTTGGGAACATAGTACCCAAAGCCTCTAAGCTTAAAAAAAAGTAAAGTATCAGGCTTGGCATAGTAGCTTACACGTCTCATCCCAGCAGTTTGGAAGGCTGAGGTGGGAGGATTGCTTGAGGCCACAAGTTAGGAGCCTGTAGTGAGCTATGATTACACTATCAACTAAACTTCTAGTCTGGGTGACAGAATGAGATGCTGTCTCAAAAAAAAAAAAAAAAGGTAAAGGAAAAAAGATTTAAAAATCTTATATCACCACCAATATTTGTAATAGTTAAACACACACTGAATGGTAGCAGTGCATTTAATCCTTACAACTAACTTCATGATACAGGTATGATTAACCCTGCTGCACAGGTGAAGAAACTAAGGCCTTTGCGAAAGTCACACAAAGGTACCAAGTGGAGAAGCCAAAATTATCAACCTTCGGAGTCTGGTTTCAGAGCACACACTCTGCACCACTCTATGAAGGAATATAAGACTAGACGACGCTAAGGAAGCACTACAATTTTACCTACCTTATTAAAAAAATACCCACGCTTATTCTATACGGTTAGTACTGTGTTCCCAAAGTCTGAATAGCACTGAAATCTTCAAGGGCTAAGCACACTCAGAAGCAAAAAAAAAAAACAACAAAAAAACCCCCCAGTTTTTTTGCATATAACCCCCCTTCAGGTCATCATACAACCCAACCCTCTTATGTCATCATCTAAAAAACCATTTTCAATTACAATTCATTCTAATGAGTAACTTAAAACCTACTTCTACTTGACGACTACTGTCATGAAATAAATTAAGTCAGATATTTAACTTTCTCAAGTTTGTTTTAAGTTAGTGCCTAATAATTCAGCCAAGTAATTATTTTAAATGGCACAAGTACTTGTAAACAAGACAGTATTGTTTTTATAATAAAAGTATAAATTTTAATAAGCCACATGAGGCAAAACAATTTAAAAGTATATATCCTCTTAAAACCCATTTTAAAAAGTCACCATTTTTTCCTTCAAGACTTTATTTAACTAGAATTTGTCCACTTTGTATAATAAGGGAATTAGAGCAACTGATCTCTGAGGTCCCTTCCAGATCTAAAACTACTCAGTGATTCAATGATAAAATTACTAAAAATCCCAGTACTTGAGAGGCTGATGAGGTAGGAGAACTGCTTGAGGCCAGGAGTTCAAATTCAGCCTGGACAACCCAGCAAGACCTTGTCTCTACAAAAAATAAAATTACCTAGGTGTGATGGCACACGCCTGCCATGTCTTAAGCTACTCAGGAGGCTTTAGCGGGAAGATGGTGGGAGCCCAGAAGCTTGAGGTTGCAGTGAGCAATCATCGTTATCACTGTACTCCAGCCTGGAGTACAAAGTGAGACCCTGTCTCTTAATAAAAGATTATTAAATAGTAAGCATTTTCATTTCAAGATGTTGTTTATGTTCTTTCATGAAGATGGCCACAAAACAAAGATTTAAAGAAAGAAATAAATATGGCATCTATCAAACTATGTCCTCATCTTCCTGGGGATGGGGAAATGAGTAAACACAAGAAGAAATATCAAGTGTTCATAAATGTAAAATTTCTACTCTGTCTTTGGGAAATGGCACCCATTGAACAGAAGAAATACATTTTAGGGTCAAGAAAACATGAATAAAATATTTTCCAACATTTTATGGTTTTGTAATAGGTTTTTATGGAGGTAGTAGCTTCCAAATTCTGTTGTTGCTAAGTTTTTTAACAAGTACTTTTCAAGTACCCTTGTGTCCCAAGAAAGCTTTAATAATGAGTATAATATCTTTTTTTTTTTTTTTTTTGAGACAGAGCCTCAAGCTGTCGCCTTGGGTAGGAACCGTGGCATCACAGCTCACAGCAACCTCCAATTCCTGGGCTCAAGCGATTCTCCTGCCTCCACTTCCCAAGTAATTCTAGCACTAGCTGGGACTACAGGCACCCGCCACAACGCCCGGCTGTTTTTTGGTTGCAGCCGTCATTGTTGTTTGGCGGGTCCGGGCTGGATTCGAACCCGCCAGCTCAGGTGTATGTGGCTAGAGCCTTAGCCGGTTGAGCCATAGGCGCTGAGCCATGAGTATAATATCTTAACAGCCTTACTATTTGGAATGTAGGGGTGAAAACATGAGAGTTGACAGCTCGATAATAAAATTTTCAGAAGGCCAGGCCCGATAGCTAACGCCTGTAATTCTAGCACTGTAGGAGGCAGAGGTGGAGGTGGGTGGATAGTTTGAGCTCATGAGTTCGAGACCAGCCTGAGCTGTCTCTACCAAAAATAGAAAAACCGAGGCAAAAGGATCACTTGAGCCCAAGAGTTGGAGGCAGCTATGAGGTATGATGCCTTGGCACTCTACCCAGGGCAATAGCTTAAAACTCCGTCTCAAAAGAAAAAAAAAATTCAAGTGAAACAGTTATAGACTAGAAAAATTCACTTAAAACATTTTAGTTCTTTAAAAAGCAAACAGGAGACTGATTAGAAACTAAGAAAAATTTACATATTAAGATACAACGTATTCTATTTTTCAAACTAGAAATATTAATTGCTGAACTTAAGGACTGAATGAAAGAATTCCTAGATTCTTAAAACTTAGATCTGAAGTTTAAAATTTTCTATTCTATCAGTGGTTCTCAACCTATGGGTTGCGACCCACAGAAACTGCATTATAGGGCTGCGGCATTAGGAAGGTTGAGAACCACTGTATTATATCCTTCAATAAGAAGTTAACACCCCACTAAGTCTATGTTAACCAGTTTGATGAAAATATTTCAAATTGTATATGAAAACACTACACTGTATGCCAAGTTTGCATTAACGTATACAGATATCATTTAATAATAATAAAAAGTTAACACCCATCCATTAACTACAAAATCATTTGAAAACAATGCAAAATAAATCACTATGTGTGAATTATCAAAATCTGACAACAGGATCACTGAGATTTTACTATCTGTTAAGACCATTAACCTGTTAAGAGTCTGGAGCTGAATGAAACCTTACAGATAGTCTGGTTGTCTAACATAGGTCTTTCATAGCTGAAAGCAACCAAGAAGCAAATTACTTCAACTCAAGAGTCTAAAACCTGTTATTCCCCAACTCCAACAGAATGTTTTTTACTAACTGCACTATTGCTTCCAAAATACTGAATAGAGCACAGTGCTTTTATTTAGAGGCCAGTTATACAGTAATCTTTGTCTTTTATGTGTCTGCAATGTTTTAGAAAGGGAATACTCCAATAATGTTATGAAGAATACCTCTCACTACAATGTAAGCTCCTTGAGGGCAGAGATTTTTGTTTTGCTCACTTTTCTCTCCCCAGAGCCTGCAAACTGCCTGGCAAAGAGGGGGTATTCAGTAATTACTTGTGAAATAAAGTCTAGTGAAAATTTATGTGCTATCAGAGACAATCAAATGACCACATCATTTAAAAATCACACTATTCAGGCTTTCAACTGTCACAGAAATAATTTTAAAATTGTCTAACATGAGGTAATGAAAGTTTTATGTATTCATTTTTTTTTTTTT